GATACAGTTTCTGTTCAGCGTCTCGGTGTGTCAATAACGACATGTGTGGATGTTGAATCATTTTACTGTCATTTGAATTTTTTATGAATTCTTATATTACGTATATTTACGTTGATGTTCACTTGGCCACTTGGAGTTGCTCTTTTTTTCATCATCCTTCTAATAGCTTATTCACACAACTTTTTTCAGGTTTCATAAAAATAATTACCTCTATTTGACCTAAAATCATACAGCCATTTAAATAAAATCTGATTTTGTTACAAAATTATGTTAATCGTTATGAATCCCGATAAAAAAAAAGTCATTCCCATCCATGATACCTTTACCCGTACTGTCTGCTAAAATTTTGTCAATAAAAAAAAAAGCACGACAGATTCTGTCAAAATATCATCAAATGTCCGTCAATGTTGAAATAAATACGCAATACCTATCAAGATCTTTCAAAACTCACCGTAAGCCTCACAGACTATTCAGGATACAGTAGAAAAATTTACACATTTCTAGCATTCGAATGAAAGCAACTGTTTTCACGTTTTACCATAAACTAGTAAAATGTTTGCATATAGTCGTGACAAAACGAAGATAAACAAATAAAGACTGTCATCGGTATTGAAGTTTCGCAAAGTCCGAATAGAAAATGAAATTACGCCAAGTAAAAAAAAAGATGGGGTCACCCCTAATCTTGTCGAGTAGTTTGAAATGAATTAAAAAAAAAGAGAGAGAAGACCCTTAAGAAAATCATTGAACAATCACATCGTGACAACTCGTTATTACTGTCATCCACGTACTAGTTTCTGTGTCTGTCCTTCCAACGAGTCCAAGTACGTCGGCTGTACGCAATTCGTCAAAACAGGACGATTATTTTCTTCCTGTCTGGGTTACGTGACGAGCGCGCACTCTGTCGTGCGCATGGGAAGTAGCTAAGCCTGACTGTAAAGCGGAACTAGAATCTCTATACAATAAAGAAAGGAACTTTGACATAGGACCAATAAGGAAAAATAGTCAAATGCGCATTAATAATTCTCTGTAACGTAAGTAAATATCTCTGTAATGGTACTTGGTAAGCAGATCGCTTGGCGCGTGCGCAAAGTTGAGAGAAATTTTAAACTAGAAAACACGCTTCTTAATGATCGTTTCGTTATCGGTTCACGTATCACAAGTGTACGGGCCAAGGTTTCGTGTTGCAAGATACTAAATAAAATAATATAAAAAAAAAGGAAACGATTTAGCTCTTTTTTTTCATAGTTGCAGTATCTTTCCACCTGACTTTTAAAATTGATATTGACAATCCAAAAATATCATTTGCTTCATATATTGTTTGCGAAATTCTATGTTACTCTTACTCTCTCATTTTTTTTTGCAAATTACTTTTTTCACATTGTATGCTAATTTGATATTTGTCTGAGGACTGTCAAGGTTCTTCTGTCACTGTCTACCATCATCAAATTATATCATGAAAATTAATGCTTTTTGCCTTAGGAAGTTCAACTGTCAGATGTCAAACTTGTCATATTACGGAACTTTGTTACGCGCTGAATTCGATGCTCGAGTTCACCTGGCACCGTGACAGATATTACGTTCGGCTTGTAAAAGCATAATGGCGAAATCGTTGGGACACAGAGCTCATGGTTTTTTATTTTAATGATATCGAAAACATGAGTTTTAAGACATACGTGTATTACTATATATATATAGAAAAGGAAAGGTATATGAGATACAGTTATATGAAAAATTTATATATGTATATATATAACCTTAATATTTTCATCACCCTTAATATCTTACTGAATGATCTTTCTGATATCCTGGAGAAAGTACCAGAACGTGTTTTTAGGATTAATACGAAGAAAACAGAAGTTTTTCGTTTGACGAATTTGACTTATTTTTTCTTTTTTCTTGAATTTGCCGATTACACGTACTGCCTGAAATTATATTTGCATCATTTTGAAAATGATCATTAACACTAGAGCAACCAGCGTTTTCTTCTTGTGTAATTAGGTATCCTATATATAGAACATCGAATTTAGAGTGGTCGATGAAATATAAATTGACATATATATTCATTCCTTCATTTTGGCAAAAGTCAAAATAAATTCTTAAAAAGCACCTTAATTATTTCTATAATTTAAAACAAGAAATCTGAAATCCGTCGATTTCACGTATTTGGTTATTCTGGTGTTTGTCTACGAAAAAGTCAAACTTTAACTTAGTTACTCTTAGAAATCCGTTCAGTCGTCGTGAATGTTGTTAACCTTGTTGTATACTGTTACAGCTATGCTTTCAGGACTGCATTTGATCATTCAAACATGTTTCAGGAATCTAATGACGCCCGATACATATCCAGGATAGATCGTCATACCGTTTATATTGAATTTTTGAAGCATATGATTATTACAGTACAAAGTTATAAGACACATGGTATATGATATTTTGAAATCCTTTTCAAAAATATACCTTGAGCTTCAATGTAAGACCGTTTGATTTTACCGACTGCATAATCAAGGATCTTGATTTGAGTTCTCGGTTAAGTCAATGATCACTAGACGGAGACACTTTCGAGCAGGTGGAAGAATGATCCTGAAAAAGTGCAGGATGAAAAATTAGATTTTTTGTGAAAATTATATTTTTTATTATTACAAAAAGAATCAACAAAATGAAACATACACTGGCAATCATCCTGGTAGGAGTCCAATTGGTTGCTGCTGATGATTTCTATAATTCACAAGAGGATTACAACTGGCTAAGATCATTTCGATTTACGGTCTATTATCCGAGATCGACAATTACAGTTGGAATAGCAGCAATAATTCCTACGGCCGCATATAGACGTGCGCGACCCGCGAGGAACGATCGCGCGAAATATATTAAAGGATTCAAACCGCCAGCAAGTTGCGGCCCAGTTCTTAGTGTAGATAACTATCTTACGAAATGGAAAGTTAGCAATAACATATGTGAATAGTTTTTTTCATTCGTTTCTTATTTTTTTTATCATCACGCCCCATACAGTACCCACGCGAAACTTTTGTAGGACGAGTAAGAGCGAAATATGGGTATGACAGATATTTTTAGCCTATAAAATTGTTGAGTTAAAAATTACAAATAATAACTCATACATTACACCGAGCGTTCCGTAATTAAAATGCTCACTGATTCCTTTTTTCAGAATCATTAAAAAATATGTATACGCTCGTATTTCAAAATATATGAGAGTAATATATGAAAAAAAGAATTTGGTAATTTTCAAAATTTCTCAAAATTTTTTACTTTCGCTCTAGACAAAAAAGGAACATTTTGAAAAATAAGTTTATGCGAACCATCCAAAAGGTGAGTCTGAAAATGGCGAAAGTCTGTCGGGGACTTCAGGCCAGTTTGCGTAGTGCATTAAAAAAAAGTGAAAGGGTCTCTTAGACTGGCGGTTTCTTTTGAGTTGTATTATTTTTTTTCGAAGAGTGATCTTTCGCGAACGACGATTCTCTTTCAAAATTGGTATTGCCGTTCTCGAATCAAGTTTTCTCTTCAACAAATCACGCGACCTTTTTGCCGCTGAACACTTCGATCTCAATGATCTTCAGCAATGACGACACAGTGCAAATGTTATACAGTAATAATTTTGGAAATTTGACAAAGGTAAAGAACCTCAATTTGTTAGACAGTATTGTAAAAAAAATACATTAGAATCTCCATCAATGGTGTAGCAGATCATTAAAACATACACGTCCTTCTAGGTCAATCTAGTCCAGATTATTATCGCACAATGACTCTTGGGTTAGGTCAGTGACTAGATGATCTAACGGTACTCTGTGTAACTGCCTTCGTTTCACGGTCTCTATTGTGAAAGCAATTCTATATCGGTATATTCATGAAGAGAACAAATTCCCATGATAATCTGTGAATTTCCGAACACTATACAGGGTGAGTCGCGAGCATATTTCTGGGTTGGAGGTCATCTGAAGGTCATACAATGTTACATGGTTGGATTCGTTTGGATGCCGGCTACAATATGTAAGGAGAAAAAATGTGCCATTCCATTTAAAAAAACTCTGATAACCTTGAAAAAACTGGTAAAAAATGAAATTAAAAAAAAATATTATGATAACCATGGGCGCCCTTCCGAATCATTTAAATTCCGATATTTGCGAACTCCGTATCTTTAAATCCAATAAAGTTATTTAGGTGTTCTGTTTCTCGCGCCTCACCCTGTATAAACAGCGTTGAAATCATCATGAAATAAATGATCGTCGTCACTGTAATATTTCATATTTATTTCAATGATCGATCTTAACACCATTAAGCGACGAAACGTCCTTGCATTGTTAAAATCAGAAGGAAATCTCGCCTCCGCAATCTTGCGTCATTCTCAATTTATTGTATCAGAACGACAGTCAAACAGTGTCGTTCTCAGCAGGAATTAATTTTGAAATAAAATTGTATACCGAAACCTTTACAAATAACCTTTTCGAGTAGTTTGGCATACATTCGTATAATATAGTGAGGCCGTGATCCTTAAACTTGGCCCTTAAGGTATAACGTTAATGTACTGGACTGATCAGTGTAAATCCATAATCTTTAGGCTGCCTGACAATTTTTTGAATCTGCGAATCTCTAGTCAAAGTTAATTTTTATAAAATATTTCTAGTCAATTATATCGCAGGAGACTTATAACCAAATATTAAGCTACTAACCTCGAGCTCTAGATGGAAGCAGGTTGATAGAATAAAATTCTTAGTATAAAATTCTTAGTATAAAATTCTTTGTTTTATCAGTGAAAATTAGAGTCCAACGTCACGACCCTACTGTAGGTACCATAAGACCCTGCTAGGTAGACTTGCATGTGCAATTCCTTGTATATAATATCGTCATATATAAATATATATATATAGGCATTGTATTACACGAAGCAAATTGATTGTTGCGCGTGCACGTACCTAATGACGTTCAGGAGTTTCACGCAAGAAAGGAAGTGTGTGCATCGAGCCAATACTGATGATGAGGAACGAAAAGTACAGCCTTGCGGAAATCGCGGATGAGAAGGCTTATCATTACCTGCTGGATATATAGAAGTCACAGCGGCACAAAGACGACCAGTCGTGTGTCAATGGTGTTACCGAAGAAGAGAATTGTCCGCTTTGAAGATTTCCTTTGGGAAAAATTGATAATCCAGTGTCGCGAAATGAATTCAGTGTGAAATCGGGAAAGACAGAAAAAATCAACCAGATATCCTTTGGTTAGGTGGACCTACATAGTGCTTTTTGTTTTACAACGCATATAGCTATCTGCTTCTTTACTCTTTGTCTCGTTTTTTCTTTCATCCCAAAACTTTTTTCTTTCTCTTTTTTTTTGGTGAAAGCTCGACATTCTCAAAGCTGCTCAAGACGGTCTGATCGACCGTTCCGAGAGGATCCTACTCGTGTAAATTATAGATGTGTTGATGGACCAAGTCCTTTTATTCTTATTTTACTTTCGAACGGATTACACGTGTGCTCGAACAGGCTCCTTTTTATTCTCGTTTTCCTTACGACTGTCGCGTTCGTGAGAACCATGAAATCGCTGATTTTCGGTATAGTCGTTATGTGTGCTGTCGGTCGTGCGATTCCTGTTGAAAGACTAAATCGAGAGAGCCAGGTGGCGGTTGATGCGCCTAGGAAGGTCACGACCCGTGAAGATCTAGTGAACTTGATTAGATACGCTATGCAAATTATGGCCTCCAGGATCAACATTACTTTAGCACCGGAACGCGAGAGAGAGGGAAATTTTGGAAATTCGCAAAAATACCTTCCAACAGCTGCAGTTGCTCCTACTGTTCCTACAATATTTAAGGCGGATTCACAAAAATTACAAAGGACTTCTGGACAACGCGCGAACGACGTCCTGAAGGATTTTAGAACGTATCCTGTTACTCCTACAGTGGATAATATCTTTCAGTTGCCTTTAAAATATACAGACGATTCAAGATATCCGGATTCAGTGGAATTGACGTATGGCGATGAGAAATTGACGTCCAGTCTAAAGAAGAAAGTGGTCCCGGAAGTTAGCGTCTTCCCATCGGACTCAGGATCTAAGATTAGGTTCGATGACCTTTCTGTGGAAGAGGAACATGACGCGAGAATTCAAAAGCCGTTACTGAGCGTACCGTTCGAGGCAGTCATCACGATTATACGCGAAGAAAATGGAATAATGAAAAATAGTAAAAACCATTTGGAATCATCACTATCGACTAGAGACCCTCCCGATGACTTTCCCCCATATTTCGAAAATAATCATTCATCGGTCGAACTACTAGGCAAAGAAGTTACATTGCTCCAACAGGAGGAATTGCGAGTGACAGATAGCAATTCCAATCCCATGAACAAACGTCAAACGTCGGCTCTTGGGGAATTGTTGGGACTTTTTGGTTTGCCGACAAAAAGGAAATTGCGAAATGGTACCGACGTCACTGCAGATTTGTCGCAAGTGATAAAGACGCTTAGGTACCAGCCAAAGGTACCATTGAACAGTCAAGAAAAGGTAAATAAGCACAAAAATATTATAAAAATTAATTTTGATGATTTTGAAGAAAAAATTTATTCATAATTCTCGGATATCTCCACGGGTCGTTATTAAGAATTTCATGCATCATTTAGCATACAAAAAAATCATCATGAAACCATGATGTAAATTGTAGTTTAGAATTAAAAAAAAATTTCGAGTTTCACTGTCGTACTTCAATCACGTTCTAATAAATGACTCGTTCGTCCTACTGATCTGTTACTCAATGAAGATCAGGTACCCAAGAAAGTCTTTAATGCGTATATCTTATTGGGTTGTTGCCTAACCGACATGCGTTAACAACGCGGTTGATCGAATGGATTTTCTCTAACGCATTTCAGTTAGCGTCATCCAGACGCGGCAGAAGAAACGAAACGTCACAGCGTCAAGAAATTGAAGAGGTAAGTAAAACTTTGCACGTAAGTATACGTACAACATAAACGGCCAATCGAAAAATAAAATAATTTTTGTATTCAGGATGAGGAGGAGGAAGAGCAAATGGGTTCGTTAGGTTTCATAACAGATTTGTTACCACTCGTATTGCCCGTACTGGAGGATCTCAGTAACGTGAGTAATAATGAATTTATATTGAAAAAAAAGTAAAATTAAAAAATACCTAAAACAATACTTTCACCAAAATTTTATTACCTACGAGAGTTTCAGTTTCTCTAAAAATTGCTTGTTTCTACTTATTAAATGCCAAACAGCTTAATGAGTCCATCCTTTCCAGCCGGATACAGATACTGACCTGGGCGAATTGCTCCAGGCTGGTATACCATTACTGGAGGGACTGTCAGAGGTGAGTTTCTTCTTTTTCATATTGTATAACCCTAGGTATAATTACGACGCCCGTGTTATCACTATTATTATGATATATAATGATCAAATAAACGTGGGTTAAGATGTCTTAAATCAACTGTTTTATGTAATAGGGAGAGGATGGAGAGGCTATCGATATACCGGCTACCTTGACGCCCATCGTAGCGGGCATAGTTGCAGTACGTATTCAAACGAGATAAATAAAGATGAAAGTGATTGACGTCAAAGTGAAACTCAATTTCTCAATTTATCGATCGCTTTCAGGGTAAAGATGGCCAAGGAAGTGACTTTGGAGCGATATTACAAGCGATAATTCCAATCGCAGCACCGTTAATAGGACCTCTGATTGGTCCACTGATTGGACCATTGCTTCGATTAAGTAGTAACGTAAGTGTACCCATTGTTGACCCAATCTGTTTTATTAATCTGTCATCTCTTTTTCTATTAGCCTATCGGAGAAGGTGGATCATCCCTTAGTGCTCTAGTACAGTCACTTATTACACCCCTTGTTCAGGTACTTGAAATCCGTATGAAAATCTATGTCAAAATGCTGATCCATTGCTTGATTGGATTTTCTAGCCCGCTGAACCTGGTGGTGTGTCACCATTGTCTACTTTAATCGCTGGTGTCATAGCAGGTCTGAGTAAAGTGAGTAACAGAATTTCCTAAGCAAATGTCCTAACCGTCGAGTAAAAATAATAATTTGTTTTGTAGGAATTGAGTGCAGGCGGTGGTTCAGGAACAGAGTTGGCAGGCATCATTAGCTCTGTGATATCTGGTACATTGGCTGGAACCAGCGCAGGACTCAGTGGTGGTTCTAGTGGTCATGGTGCAGCACCATCAAAACCATCTGGATACAATTATGAACCAGTGAGTACAATATAGACAAAAAGTTTTTATTATTATTCTAACTCCAAATTACTATATCAATTTTTGAGGTCTCTCACGCCCCGTCCTACGATCAAAATCCCGTCCCAGCCAGCAGTGTTAATACTTTTGACTTGGTGAGCACCTCGTTCAAAGACATCCTGGGTGGAACTGTTCAAATAGCTAGTAGCCTATTGTCTACGGTATTTACTATCCTGGGCTCCTCATCCCAGGAAGAACCACAATCTGCCTATGGACCTCCACGACCTCATTACGGAGCATCACAGTAGTAGCCAATTTTTTAGAAATAGAAAAATATCGTATTTACCCCTCACTCTACCCACCGACCACTCTTATTATTAACCTAGGAAAGGAAAAGAGCGTCACAAAGTATTCATGATGTTTAAAAGAGAAATTAATAAAAAGTAAACAAGGAGAAAAGAATCAGAAACACTTTTAAATCGCGTAACAAGTATTTTCGTTAGGTTACCCGAGCAGTCGTATGCGTAATGTCGAGCACGCTACGAAATTACGTTATTAACTTATTTAGACGATGCGGATGTGACCCGGAAAACATTAACGTCTGTAAGAGCAAAAACCTGCGACTCCGGTTTTCAAAGCAAAATGATTTCTTCCGAGTAATAGCGCCCGTTACGTGCTGGCTTACTTCTAACTGTTGCAGACGGTTTGTAATGTGTATGCGCATGCGCGTGAGCGGTTACTCGTATAATACGGTTGCGCGCGCATGTCAATGAGATTGCATATGGCGTCAACGCAGCTCGAGATTTGCGTGCGTCGCGTGTACTTTACTTGGAAACGCACCATTATACTTCCGGCTTCTAGCCGTGCAACCAGGAAACCGCTTGAAATGAAATACTCTTCGACAATTTTCCCGACACGCACCAAAAGATTCTGCGTAACGTACTTATCCGTTCACTTACTGCTTACGCACTTACGCATGCTCTGTTATACATCCACTGCGTTATAGGTTATCACCGTCAATTCAAACAAATCTTAGTGATACGTATTTCATTCAGTTTATTATGTACAGGATTTATCATTAAATTTTTCATGATTATTATTATCAAAATATGAGAGCTGTGAGATTTTTTATCTTACGCGAATGACTAACTCATTATATTATTATGTTTTTACATATTTCTCTCGGCTGTTAATCAAGCTCACCTTTCGTTCCTCTTTTATTTTACACTGTCAATGGAAAAATTTTGTTAATTACGTGATCTGTCTTTTAGTCATATAATTACGTTCTAACGTCAACGACCGATACTTGACATATAATAAATTAGATCGATGGTCGCTGTTTCCCTATTGGCGTTAAATAATCATTTCTATGCATGCAACCAGGTAACGAGTACTTAAAATTATGGGTAATGAAAAGTTCCTAGATACCAGACTCTATTTCCTTAAATAAGTACAGAGAAACAAACTAATTTTGTATAACAATTACGTAATTCGCACGAAGATAAACAATACCGATGCAATTAGTCAGACCTTAATGTGCAATTTGATATGTTTATTATCCAATTAAGACCTTTAGATGTATATCACAATTCCTTAATAATTTCTTCCTGAATTAATTAGAAGGTAAATAATTATTTTTTTAAATAAATGAAAAACAAAACCATCGTACAGAGTGATACAAAATTTTCTCGAGCTCCAAAAAAAACTAGTTCCACATGACTTGTCGTTACCTACTTTACAGATCTTTCATCTTTTTCTCTCTTGGACGATCTCGTTATTAGATCGTGAAATTTGCCTTGAAGAGTGGTCACAGCAGTTTGTTGTATCTGATAAAGGAAAATCCGGTGAACACGAAAAAAGATGGGAAGTCACGACGTCAGAAGTCTACGAAAATCGAGAGTAGAGATCGAGTCAAGATAAAAGAGGGAGAGAGAGCGCCATAGAGATCGAGAGTGAGGGCCGTTAAGAGTTCCAATCCTGACCGCTCAAGAAAGGCCATTCACTTTCCATTCTCAAAGAAAGTGCCATTTTTAAGAAGTGGAGGTCGATGTCTGACCCTCGCCCAGCCGGTTCAATTAGAATTACATACAGAGTCTGAGAATACACTATAGGAATTATGAAAATTTTTACAACTTCTTCATAATGTTGCAGTCCGGATAATACATTAAAAATGTATTTAAATACTAATAGCGATTCACAATGGTACATTTATAACGTAAAAAGCAATATTTAATCAAGTCATTAATGACAGGTGGTGCCGTACTAGTCAGTTTCATGTAAGTATAATACCGACCAAGAGTATATGTATACCTAGAAAATTAAACATTTCCCCCTTACAGCAATAACATTCTTAACTTTTTACACCGACTAGCCATTACGGTAATTCCGTAATAACTGGATCTCGAGGTGACACTTGTTCATATGCGTAATAAATACGAGAACGTAATATATCTACAGGGCTATCCAGTTTGAAGACACTAATAGAACGTCTGACTACAGATTAAAGCGAGTGACCGAACTGTGCCTGTAAAATGAAAATAATTATTCCATCAAACAATTCAATTAATTGTATTTTTATTTACAGCTGATCGAAATCAACCGAGTCCCTTTTTGGGAATTTTATATGATAACCTGTCAGAAAAGTATATATATATATATGTATATGCAAAGACGTACAAAATTATTTAAATCCAACGTACCGCGTGAAGTTGGCTCTAGGAGTGAAATCAAATAGATGGATAGACGACCCTATATAATATACATAATACATATACGTAACATAAAATTGTCCATGAGAAATCTTCCATATTTTTTGCTACTTGTAATATCGTTCATTGACGTAGCGACCGCAGAGTAGATTAACTATTTCGAAATAACAGTAGATCGCCGTGGTCTAGATCGTTAGGATCTCACCTGAGGGTCATACGGTATAATTGGAGCACGTGTGTTACTTATAATATTATCCAATACAATCAATAAGATTGCACACGATTTTTTATAATTAATTTAAAGCATCATGTAAATTGATTTTATACATAGCATATAAATTGGTTATCTCGAAAGTCTTAGTGTCGAAAATATGTAAAATCATCTATGGAAAATACATTAATCGTTTCACATTATTATTCCATTTCGATTAGACCCAACATTATGGGCATTGCGAAAGAGATTCACGTATGGGGTATGGCTTTGCTCTATGACCTCCAAAGACTTTCTAGCTGCATTTCATTATAATAAATTCAGCCATGTATGCATTTGATACGCTTACGCGACTATAACTAAGAATAAGTAGAACTTATGAGAAATTATAACGTAAAGAAAATTCCTTAAGGCACAAGGAAATCTCACGACCGTTCCGTCAGGTTAATCATTTCAAGCCGATAATAACTCATAGTCCGTACGAGACTAGAGGAATACCAGAGCGTGCATGAAATAGATACAAACTGGAATTACGTATTTCTTTGTTCCTGTTTCCATAGGTGTCTGAACCTTCCTAGTAATTAAGACCACATCACCGCAGCTCATTCCAGCATCACGCGTCTTATAGAGAATTACGAAATGAAGCATGTCTTAGGTTAAATAATTGCATTCGATTCACAGCTTCCTGTAAAACGTATTGGATGAAAAAAAATGTTATCAAGATTATTGTCTCCCCATTAATTATTGATTTCATTAAAAATTATAGAATTTCTAACGTGGACAATTACAAATTTATCAAGACTTTGGAGCATCTAATTGAGAACGGAAATACCTCGGAGTCATCGATCCTCTTGGAGAAAGTAACTATATATATAAGTAGGTAAGACATGTATATACCCAAACTCTCATAACACTAAATCCATATACGACCTACGTATGCGGCTTAATCGTGCGTAAAAGCATCTCGCGAAGTTTCCACGTGAAACCCGGATCAGGATCAATATCCCAAAATATCAGGTTCGAGTAAAAAATCCGATGATTCGAATAATGCGCATGCGCAGACCGGATATTTTATTAGAGAAATTCCATGAAGGGGAACTTAGCAGGAACGTAAAGTGTTAAATGTAAAGTTTACTTTTTGAAATTGACCGACCACAATTACCACGTACACGCATACGCGTGAGTACATGCACTTGGTGAAATTCTTACTTAAGGTGTCTATCGATAGTTACGCAATAAAAATTTCTACAGTGGGACGCGCGACACGCGCTCTCCACGTTGCGCCATTTCTCTTCTCTGACCACTCTTCTTTCTTTCTTTCTTTCTTTCGTCATTTTTTTTCTTTCTTTTTTTTTTACTAGCATTATCATTATTGGCACCTCTCTAACATCCGCCCAGACCAATTTCCCCGACGTTCAACAAGGTGAACTTTCCTCCCAGGCGTCGGCGTCGGCCCAGCCACTATAGGTGTGTACTTACTCGACGCCACCGTCGGGATTATTACGACTCGAACTGTTCGAGCGTACCGAACCTCTTTGATTCTACATCGAGATATATTGATCGGTATCGATCGGTGCGCGAGTACTTCCGGTTTTCAGTATCACCGTAACGATCGTATCATCTTTCAGGAATTATATGTATATTCTTTAGAATATATGAGACCCGATTCTTCTTATGGGCGGATGTGCAAGCAGTGGATAAAAGTTTGAAAAAAAGTTTTAACTGGTGATTCGTACGAAACCGGTTTCTTTTATTATGCTGAGAGTGCTCGAGGATTTGCAATGTACTTTTTTGGTGCGCGTCTAGTAAATTGTGATTGGTATTATTTTTAATATATTTGTCAGAGGTAATATAGTACGTTTATGTAATACTTGTAAATTGTGCTTCTAGATGTTATTGTGACATAGGATACTTTTTTGAACACTTTTTATTGTGAACGCGTCTTATCTGTCTCACATCCGATTCCAGTACGATCTTCATCGTGAGTGAATTCAATTTGAAAGGGCTGTTGCTTCTCGATACTCCCGGTAACTGATTTTCATGCTGCTTTCTTCTGCAGAGGAGAGGGGTCACGCGCACGAGCACTTGGGTATGTATGGTACTAGTAATATTTTATTTATAATATATACATATATGCGTGATACGATGATCATTAGTCTCTTTTGTAATAGGTCGTTCAGATCAATGAACATAGGTAAGAGTTGCATTGGATAATAGTAAGATTGAATATTGATTTTGTAATTTTATTTACATTTAAATTTTTTTATGAGTTAATTAAAAATATGTGCATTGGCGATGGACTTGACATTTTTATCTGGATAATTATTCATTATTGTACTACCTATTATGTATTTTCATATATGTTATTATAATATGTATTTTTACTCTTAACAAGCAAAACTTTCGTCATGGACCAGATGGGACTCACGTTTTACAAAAGAAACTTAATACGAACACTTCCGGTAGTCAAAATTGAGTAAAAAGTTTTCAAAGTTTTTAAAGAATAGTATTGACGCAGATAGAAAAAAATCCCTATCCTCCGCTATGGGTATAAAGATTGCAATACTCGCTGTGGGTCTCACAGACCCACTTGACCGGTTAAGGAAATATCATTTTTCTACGATTTCAGTTCATAACAAATTAGATGTACTTAGTAGAGATTAGTGATTTTGTTAATGTTAGATTTTTTAACAATATTTAAAAAAAATGAATGCGTCTAAATAAATAAATAATTGCGATGGCAGGAAATGGCCAATGGCGTTCCATCCAAGAGCAGCTAACTCAACGCTGATAGGCTAATAGTCGTAAATTTAAATATAAATTATCTCAAAATTTTGAAGTTAAAAATAAAAAATGCCTGAATACTTGTCTTTTCATTTCATATGAAGAATCCAACTATGCCATCCACATGCGGCCATATATGGGTACCCCGGATAATTGGTGCTACTGTATAAATCAAATGAATGAATCAATTTTCTATGATGCAACATTTTCGACTGATTCTTTATATTAAATTATACGCTATACATATTTCAAACTCAATTTTGATTATTATAAAAAGCACGTTGAGAAGTACTATATTTAGAAGAAAAAAAAGATCAATCCACAGTGAAAGTGTATGCTAGAGAAACATGAAGGACATACGAATTTATCCAATGATGTACTTTTCTTTGAATTCATGATGTGTATCCAATCCTCGTTGTAACATACAGACTTACGCCATTTTACGACGTGTTCTACTCGCTTGCCTTATTATACCAGAAAATTAAATTCCGTAACCACAACGTCTCGCGTTGATTGCCAGCTATTTGACTTAAGTTAACGTTTTGAATAATTAAAAACAAAAGATCAAAATTTTCATTAGTCAATTCCGCATTCATAAAATATTAATATAATGCGTTTCATGTCAAAAAGACATATAGACTTCAAATAGCATGAGATAGTTACGTGACTACATACTTTCTATAACATAAAAAAACGTTTTTTAAATTCAATCTTTCGAGTACCCTTAAAAACTATTTAATACGAAAAATAATAAAATTCAGTACACAGTTTCTCGAGCAGATTAATTCATTGTTATTTTCGTTTTAATTTTACGTTCGTTTTTTCTCTTTGCTTTTGACTCAAGTAGTCTGGCCATCTACCGGTAAGGAATGCAAATGCGATTTCTACGTTTCTCAACGTTGACTGTCAAAGGAAATTAAACGTAAACGTAAAGTTGACCAAGTTAGTTGAACGAATGAGTCTAGAACAGGAAGGAGATTTGTAGGAAAAAGAGTAAAGTGTGACTTGAATTTTTATCTCTGAATTTTTTTATCGAATTATTAAAACTCGAATATTTCTCCATCGCTCCCGTGAAAGCTTCATAGTTCGTATACGTTGATAAGTAATCGATCCTTATAATCCTTTCTATAGATACTGCTTAGACAATTCGTCGTATATTGATATTCATAGGACTCTTAATAGCAATTCGGATAAGGTTAATTGGAAAACATATTAAGAAATGAAAGACAAGTAATAGTAAATACGAAATCTCCTACACTTTCTCTTTCGTCATTTGTTTTTGTTACACGACAAATTTTTAAAATGATTGAAACTGTATATATTTAGTTTCTCAAAAAATGCCTTAAACCACGTGACATCGCTTGTTTGTGTAATAAGAATCATAGTACTGATTGGAATCGGTCTTTAAAAATTTCACATATAAAACTATCAAAGTTGTAGAACCTTATCAAGCTGGTTTCTTGCGACAAAGAATCATTATAAAAATATTCACCAATTTTGACGCATAATATATAGCTGATTGAGTATGTTAATAAGCGTCGATTCATACAAAATCAAACGTTACCTGTTTTTTCTATATATTGATGTGGGTTAAGAGAGTCACTAGGCATATAAAAAGATCTTTATTTCTTGTGACATCACGTAATACATAAAGACGACTGTATCTACACGTGTCCACGTATAATCATCTTGCTTCGGCTATGGAGAAACTTTAAATGGCAATTTCAAAGAATCTGGTTCTCTAAGCTAGAATCGGCAGCTCGCATGTCACATGAGATCAGAATGCAGGTTACTGGCAAATCTCAAAATTTTACAAATCCAGTTTTTAAGAACGCACGCGAAATTTTCTTATACGTTTTTTCGTTAAGTGGCATCTAAATTGCCACGTTGCTTGTCAACCAGATTATACAATTTACTTAGTCCGCTAATGGATTTTCCAATCACAGTACATTAAAGGGATGTTTCAATTAGACATTTTTAAAAATTACTTAATCGACTATGCAAGTGTATAGTTAATTTCAGATATTCAATACTCCATGACATTGGCCGCCAGTATACCTAAACACACATAATTTTTCCTTTAGCCATTACACAATCCCTTTTGACAGTAGATAAGAAAAAATCAAAATTTCATATATTTAATACGTAAACGTTGTGCAAACAATACTGTGCAAACAACTTCATACTACCTGAACTACCATAAATTGAAATGCCAATGGACTCAAGTTCAAGAGTTTTAGCACGTGTAACTGTAGTATTTGACACATTCGACAAAAATCAGATGGACAACAATTACCATAATTTCGGTGCGTTTAAACTACAAATTAATTTCATCACTCCCCAAGGCTGATTCTCAAATAGTTATTATTGAGACAAAAGAGGAAAACCCAAAATTTCCCATTAACAAAAAGAAAATTAGTATCCTCCTACAGATTAATTACCTATCCTTATGTATTTATTAATACATACGTATATACCATTTTACCTATACGTGTGTATATGAACATATATACATACCTAACAAACCTATAAAAAGTCCTGTACGAGTTCTCATTGCAGCAGTGGTCGCGAGAGTGCAGTAGATCCATAGATACGTAGTCAGACAGACGAGACCCGAAAAACGTAAAAAAATAAAAATCCCACCATAAAAAATAATACAAAGAGCGACGAGCACTCTAAATGGAGAGTGTAAAAAAGTGAAGGTATATCGAAGGCGATCTAAAATTCTCGATCGTCGTTTCGCGATTCTCGATATTCGACCACCGATCCTCGATTCTCGATTCTCGAGCGGCACACATGTGCACGGTCGTGCTCGTTCACTCGCTGTAAGACTTCGAGACCTTCTCCGGCGGGTCTCTCAAACGGCTCTAGTACGCCGTGAGGTGCACATCTCTTGGTAACTCACGCACTCACGCACTCGATCGACCCACCCCTCGCAGTAAGTCGGCACTCAAATTTGACTAAAAGTAAAAGGAGAGAAAATTTTGTAAAAAATATCAGTCAGTTATTAAAATTGAATTTAAAAAAACGTCTGCACCACTCTCTTTGTACGATTTACGAAAATATATGGGATACAAGTGATTTCGAAAATATTGTAAAATTTTTTATTTCGAATTCGCTATAATTGAGTGTTGATATAATAGATTTTGTTTTTCAATTTTACGAGAAAATATTTTAAATTCTTTTCTGTGCTACACGTAGCCGAAGACTTTCGATTTCTCCTGATAATATATTGGACATACATGATTATTTGAATAAATCGAACTTAGCCGATCGAAAGTACTAATGGATTATTTTTTTATTTATTTTTTTTCTTATACAGTTTCATCTTAAATCGACTCTTTTGCATCCTTTCACTGTGCCACTTGACATTTACGATATACTTTCGTTGGCTATTATAACCGCAGAAGGAAACCGTGTCAAGTTTTCTTTTTGCAGGAGATACCCGGGTACAACAACGACTTGTTGATTAGTCAAAGAAACTGTCAAGTACGACAATAAACAAGATGAAGTTAGTCTGCGTCGTTCTCTTGGGGAGCATCCTGGCGCTTGTAGCATCCAGTCCAATAGTGAAGAGGGAGACGCAGGACGATCTGAGTCCCTTAAACGAAGTAAGTGTTAAGTAAGCGTGTCTAGTAACTGTACCATTAAAAGGAGTGAAAAAAAAAGGTTCTACCGCCAAGTTCAAGTGCGTTTAGGGAAAGTAGGTATCCGATAGAAATAAGAAAAACTTCACCACTAATAGTTCCTATTGGATAAGAACAAATTGAACAGTTCCGTTATATTTTTTTATATCTATCAATGGATCAAGGCCATAATGCTTTTGTCAAATTATATTCGTTTACTACAGTTGATTGTTATACTTGTTAATTTTTTTTCTTTTAATTCATTCTCTTTCTGTACAATTTTTTTGGTTCCTTGAAAAAAATTACATGCAAAATTGCCCTGGTCGATCTTCAATGTATATTCTTGAGAGGCGAGTCGAGAGTGAAAGTCTCGTCTAAGCAGTGGTCCAGCTTAACCAACTCACAACACGCAAACGCAAAGTCCGTATGGTAGTTTTGCAGCTGTATAGTATAGAATCTAGTATCTGTATATATTATAAGTACTTAGTGGTCACCTAGTATATGTAGGACGAGTAGAACACGTATATGACGAATACCGCACAATTTGTAGAATCCAGTGATATATATAGAATTGCACAATTCCATTTGATGCTTAACTTTTTTTTGTGCTACTGTATGTATTAATTAAAATGAAAATTTTTGTTCTTCAGAGGCATTAGAAAAACTGGTAAGATTTTACGTTTTTGCAAATTTATTTTTTTCCAATTTTTATAGAAAGAGTGACAATTGACGATTATTATGGGATATAACGAGGTTTTGAAAATTTTAAAAGTATTGATGACAAATTTTATTTTTACAGTGACTCTCAAAAAATTGTAATCGATCCGTATAATTGTCTTTTACCTGAACTCGATCGATTCGTCCGATTGAATTGAACGAAAGGACGGAATAAATTTCCCAATTCACTGGTAACGACTATCCGTACGTCAGTGTTACATAACGATTGGACCCACTAGCCGAATTGCCATTGCGGAATTCTCTGCTGTGCTAAATAGCTTCTCTCATGAATAATGTTTCTCACGATCAACTACGTAATTAACACTTTTCAGAGACAATTTAATCGTGTAAATAGGTATACGTGTTTCAGGCTGATGCTGACTCTACCGTTGATGGTGATCATGGGGACCGTGACAAACGAAAGATTGGAATAGTCAAGCTGGGCGTGACTAATGGAATTCTCAGTTTCGTCTTTGGGGTAAAAACGAATAAACTATTGCATTATTTACTACCGTAATACTAACCTTGCTTAGAAGTTTCATAATAATATAGATTCCTGTCCTTGGAAACTTCTTCTAGACTCTGCTCGAACGTGCACAAAATATTGTTTCACTCTTTTAGAAACTTGATGCGTTCCTGGACGCCAAGACCAGAGCACTCTCCTCACTCGACGAGGCGAACAAAGCCAAGAATGCTGCATTCGGAATTGACAATACACAATCGTCTACTGGACAGTTCATCAGCAACCTAATCTCGCAGAAAATCCAAGCCGGCACCGCTAGCATAGGACCGATCATTAACGGCGCCACGACATTTGTAACAAGTGCTAAGAGCGGACTTACAAATGCACTGGTGTCAAAGGTAGCACCATTGAGTTCACTGTCTGGTGGTTTAACAAGCGGACTGTCTGCTGGTACAGGTAAAGAATAAAAAAATATAACCTCGAAAATGTCAAAAAAAAATTACAATCGTCAAATTTCTAAGGGCAAATATTACCTGTATCGAGCGCATAGCTCATATTTCAATTATAATTTTCAGGATCATCCGCAGGAACCGGAAGTAGCTTCGGCAGTGGCAGTGGTATTCTGGGAGGACTTTTAGCCTCAAAAGTTAGCGCTCTTAGCAGCCTTAGTGGCAGCAGTAACTTGAGTGGCGGAGGAAGCAGCGACGTCAGCGCCTCTGGTGGGAGCGACTCTAGCTCAAGCGCAGGCGCGAGTTCAAGCGCGGGTGCTGGCGCAGGAGTAAATCTTGGAGCGTTTGCCAATCTTGGCGCAGGGGTAGGACCATACTGAGCTGAATCAGTTCAGTTTAATGATTAACGACCGTAATCATTCTTATGATCGTTTTATGCTTCGCACGGTGAATACTCGCAATGCTTTTCCATTAAAACGCAATTCGAAATTCCATTGCACCGAGTAGTATTGTTGTAACTTGGAGTAAGTATACCCCAGGCACAGGGTAGTTTAGCTAACCTATTTGCAGAGACGCTTTTTTACTTGGACATTTTGTAACGAAATCAAATTCATGCAAAATAATCCCTGCATCGTTCCCTACGGCCCTTAATGATTTTTTTTAGTTAATCTACGTAGGAGCCAGACCCTTCGTTGTATTAACTCTTTTAAAAAATTAAAGGAACTACAATATTTTCTTTCTGGAAGAAAAATTAAAGCGACACGAGACGCCTTTTTTTCTACGAAAGAATAATTGTTTCTTCCAGTTTGGACGCTAATGACCAGAGAACGTGTGTGTTCAACCCCCGATATAATACATGTGTGCCCACCCGACCCCTACGGCAACTGCACCATTACACAAAACGGCCATTAAAAATTTAGCCACAAATATTATCGGTTTTCTCCGGCGAAAGGTGTAAATAATACTAAGGTGTACTTGAATAGCTATAATTTTAAGATTGTAAGGCAAAGTCCTGTACGATCAAATTTCTATGTAAATGATGTAAATAACGGATTTGTAATACGTTCAAATAGGAAGAATCAATGTCAATAAAATCTCGACTTTCTTTACTTTTATCGACACGCCGAGATATTTATTTGTACACTCTTGCTGTCTAGTGTTTCAATACGAACATAAATGCTCCCAATCCCATCAATCCTATCCCTTATGGATAACATATGAATATATATATGTATATATAGTAAAGCATTTTTTATAAACACGTTGTACAGCATATAAAGTCCCACGATTTGATTGGTTAATTTCATCGACTACTACGTCATCGATACTGTCCAGCTTCGTTAGTCCAATTGACTACGTTTACCTAAGAGTCAGTGATCAATTCCGTACAATGTTAAAACGCTTACGGAATAATAGAGAGGTTTCGACACATATTGAGGGTCGTGAATTTTTTTTTCGCCCGGAGCATTTTTATTCTATTTCACCAGACATACCGGAATAAAACTTGTCTTACGTAACGAAATACAGTAAACGTACACATTTTACCGTGCCACAAAGTTTTTTTGAATTTCTTCGCCGTACTGGAAACAGGTCTTCTCGAAACAATGGAATTTCGAAAAATATAACTTGGCATTTATTTCTATTATCATTGAATATGTCACACGTGCATCTGCATCTATTTGTCTTGCGATCGATCGTTCATTGTTCTTTTTTGTTCGCTCGCAGGAAACAATGACAACCACCACGGAGGACATTCCTGAATTTGACAGAACTCGAGTATCACTAGACATCCCACCTCCAGTCTTTGGCGGTGGCTTCAGTCTGATAACAAACGCCAGTAAAGTCGTTGGCAGCGTTATTCTCGTAAGTATATTCCTATATGACGATAATTAATAACGTTGAACACAGTATACACAATTTTTTGGTACAGTTAAGCTCAGTTATATCTAAAAGTCCCTTCACTCGTTGGTATTACGTAACTGTACAAAGTCGACATATGGTACACATATCAACGCATACTCGTACGTACACTGGCACATTATAAGACGTTCATCAGATTCGTACTTCCATATTTATAAAAATTTGCGCAATCGAGTAAAACACTAATTACTTTTTCCTCTTAGTAAAATACGTCACTGTACGCTGACAGTTACTTTTTTGATCCCGTATATGAGTCAATTAAGTCTGTGCCAATCGTAGCAATTATATATAGTATATCTATAGTGTGCATTGATGAACTGATACTTTTCATATTGCAGAATTCAGCCCGTAGAACACAGGACATTTTAGAAGTACTGAAGCCGCTGTTTCGTGGCATATTCGCCATTAAGGGTCTGCCTTCGGACAATCCGCAGTAAAAATACGTCGTAATGAAGTCAGACAAAATGATAGGCAAGGACAAATGGGATCTGTGCAATTATAAATACAATCGATACCGGAGCTGATTGTACAGTGGCAGTTGGTTGGACGATTCGTAGACTTAATTAATTGCTCTTATCGCCCAGTGAAGTAATTTAAATAAGCGCGCGAAATCCGCGACGAATTCAAAACGGGCACGCGGGTCAATTCCTAATTTTATTTGCCATATGATCAACGTTCCTGTTTTTTTGCACTTGCGAAAATTGCGACTATCGATACTACAGTGCTATAATGTATTACTTATCGAATAGTTATACTTGGAACGAAGCTGTTAAAATAAGAAGATGGATCTTGGAAGTTGAATTTAATTTGATTAATCGATAGTTTAATGTATTTTATAATATAATAATAATTTTTATCGGCGGTGCTCTATGTCAAAGTATCGAACTAAGTCAGTTTTATATTTTTCTTTTTATATTCATGGTTTCGTCGACTGTACTCGTATCATTGTTATTCTATGTAAAATATGCTTTCCCGGTTATTTCAAAAGTTTTATCAGTCTTTAATAAGTCATGTATATACCGTATGCGTATGGCGTATAGCGATTTTAATGGCTGCTGCGTACGTGGATTTTATATCCTCGATGACATATTGTACAATAACTTTGTACGTGTTCTTGACGTAATAACAATTTCTCCATATTTTCCATTGAAAATAATAAACGGGTTTTCGCATTTTACTGAAACTTTTCATATACCTACTTTCTTCGCCCACAGACCGAGCAAGCCGAGTGAAAGCAGCAGGAAGTTCAATTCGTAAAGTACGTGATAAATTGAAGTATTGAAAAAGTATAATAACACCGTTTAAACAATTTTTGAACCATCGGTAAAATTCCATTGAACTTGTGCCGTGAAGAAGTATGCGAATATTTAATAAGCCAAAAAAATTCAGGAAGGCAAATTTGCGTAACGTAAAGTCCAAGGGCAAGTTTTAAAATTTGGAAAAAATATATACGTCTCCGGTCACGAACCGTGAAATACTTACTATGCGTACGAATACGACGAATAAATAGTAATACAAAATGAAACTTACATATATATGTATTTTTGTTCTTGTTCTTCTTGTTCGTGTCACTATCTTCGTCTCTCTTTGCACGTATCTCTCAATAGCTATAATATCCCAGAGATTCCTTAATGTCTCAGCACAGGCGTGTTGCAACTTTGAAAATCTCGTGTCCGATTGCGTAAATCAAAATACTCGGCAAGACTGCGTCGCAACAGTCAATTCTACTGGTTAAAGAACGTCGGAAATTTGTATCGTATGTTACTCATGTCTTTTACCGTCGTCAGTTGCATACGAAGGTGATTCTGAACTTTGAACCTTCCTAGGTCAAAGTTACCTGTTCCCGATTCTCTCAGGATATTCATCCAAGCATAATTTGCATGCACCAATGTTTTCTCAGTTGCATAATTTATAACGAAGTTGCAATCAGCGATTTGAAAATACGCGACGGCATTTTGCGTAATTGTTTCCTTCGAGTATTAAATATATACTGGTAGACGTATCTAGGAGGAAAAATAACTCGGCCTATGATCTTTCGAGTGAGGCTGTTACTTTAGCCGCACTGCATCCGATATTGTGGCGTATGATATGCGTATAACGTATGCAATATTTCATAAGTGCTAGAAACGCATGGATACGCTTTACGGAGGGATGAAATTTTAAGAAAAGATCTTTAGGTCGTCTTGATAAAATTTTCAAATACTAGGAAGTCTATGACTGTGTCTGTTTTATCATGTGTGAAATATAATGAATAGTCAGGAATGTAATTTCATGGATCTTCGTGAAATGTCAACCTTGAATACTTATACTAAATTTCGTATGAATAATAAATATGAAATAGTGAGAATAGCTGTGCTTCCCTATATGAGTAATCAAATTGATAATTTCCATACTTATAATTTTGTACTATGTTATTATATATATATATATATATAGATAGTATATATTTAAATACAATCCTAAAGAACTGTTACTGCAATACAGCAGTGTATGATTGGTTGCATACTTCAGGCTGTAAGATATCTTTATAGTTTTTTCATAAATTTTGATATGACAAAGAAATATAATTTTTTTTCTATTTTATTATATATATTTTAAGGACATTCCTTGCAGTGATTTATATTTTATTGTGAAAAAGATGTTGATTCAACCTTTTTTTTTTACTTTTGAAACGTAAGACTATTTTATTAATGGATAATTTTTTTTATATTAGAGCTATTATCGTTTTACTGTTATTTATTGGTTTTATTCGTGACTTCCATGAGATGAGAATTGACGGAACGAAATGCTAATATACGGACGTCCTTAGAGACTCGTTAATCGGTTCCGTTTCGTGGGTTGGTAATGACGGCGTTGATCTTTCGTAAAAATGCAGATGCCCTTGAAGAATATTTCGTGCGGAGGAACCCACGAGGACTCATCGGTTTGGCGTTTAGTCCGAAGTCTGCTGTCTGACAAGATGCAGTTGCTATATAGGGGAGCCCTAACCTCTAACTACACTTAGTAACCGAAGAGAATCCGAGTGTATAGTCATTGGTTAGGAAAGCAACGAACGACAATTTTCGTGTGGACAAGATTTATTGAAAACAGTCAGATAAAGTATTTAATAAATCAAAAGGAAAGTGTAAAAAGAAGAATTTACGACAAAGTGCAAGAAATTTATCAGAGTAAGAGGACAAGAATAAAATTGTACAAATAATACATAACGATTGGGTGAACGTTTGTGGGTTTATCGTTTTACTCCACTTATTTCGTAATTGCATAATAATCCGCGGTTTTGTAATCTAGGACACATAGTTTTGTCTCAATCAACTATTAAGAACGCGTAAAAAGTACTTTATTTTCTTGGTAATAAAACAAAAATTAAAATTCATATAAAATCGTACAACGCTCCAATTATTATTATGCATCGTAAACCTTGGATGTAGAAGGTACCTAGGGATATCCAAGGTAAACTAGAACACTCGCTCCAGTAAATCTTTCTTGTTTCTTTTCGCCCTGTCAAAGGAATCAATTTCGCAATTCCTTTTCATACGTATTACAAGTTTCTTTTTTTCCCTCGCAGTCCGAATAACGTACAGTGCCCAGTGCATTCTCTAGTTTTACAAGGCAATCAAAACTGACCAAACTCCCATAATAATAATAAGTTACGCAATAGTGCTGTTCATACTTCTTTCAATTTGAACCAGTTACCTTCACCAGATCCGTACCTTTCTCCAATGAACCAAAAATGTTTAACAAAAGAAAAAGGGCCAAATTTTTTTTATATTTCAAAATCATCGTAAGACGAATGAAAAAGAAAAGTAAACTAAGATGACTCCATTGAACGCTATTTTTAGATATGTTTTTCAAATTCTTCTTCCCGGAAGTTGTCTGGATCTTCGTTATTAGGCATAACAAGATCAAAGACCTGCTGAGCTCAGTCCCCAGTTATGTATAAGGCACAAGCACTTCTGAAGTGTGGCAATTTGGTAGCCAAGAGCAGAAGACCAAAGCAATAGCAAGACCAGCAACGACCCAAGAGAGACTAGAGTGTTACGGCCTCACGGTTTCATAACGGAACAAATCCATAAGAAAACTATTATGTAAAGACGAGGCGCTGGCCTCAACTCCATAGAATCTGAGGACGTTAGTACTAGTACCGGCTAAGAAATCCTTCGCGACGTTTTAATCTTCATCTCGGAGTCGGTCCGCTAGAGATGGCTACTCGAAGCACAAGGTGATCTTACATACCACCCATTTGCCACGCGTGAGTGCAGAGTCGAGAAAATTTTTCTTCCCTTCCCTTTTCTTTTTATTATTTATTATTTACCTTTCCCGACCTCCTTGGCGCATGCAAATATATTGCATTGCATTTGCTCTTACCTGCGATCCCAGTGCTCGTGTCACGAAATGGCACCGACTAGTTCGCCATTGATTTTCCGGCGTTCCTGAGTTTTCCACGTTCACGCCGTCACAGTGCAACTGTGAGTGTCTCTTGATTTCTTGATTTCATTTTCGTTTCATTCGTTTTCGATATTATTTTTATTACTTAAAAAAATTAGTATATTTAGACGCTCGTTGTTTTCGCTTCAGTTTAAATACACTTTGTATCCTGTACGTGGCACGTAGTATATCTACATGTACATGTTTGTGAATTAAAGAGAATTTGAATTATTTTTTCTGTTGAATGTATAAAATAACATCTTACATAGGTATCAGTAACGTAACATGAAATTAACGAACTTTTTATGACGATTATATAATGTCTCCGGTATCGGTTAAAAAGAAATATCATTTTAACAATATAATTGCATAATCATCTTGGGGTGTAATGTAATATTGAAGAATTGAAATTTGAAAAATAATATCTCAAAAAATAATTCAACCACTTGACTTGGCCTAGTAGATCGTTAAACATTGGTACACTAACTATGGTTACCTTGACACGTTGCCCATATTTACTGTGAGTCAAAATAAAGTGTAAAACAAGTTATCTTAGAATTCTCATACACCAGTTTGTCACGAACGACATATAAAAAATGAAAATGGATAAAAATTGTTTTTGAAAGTCATAATTATTGATACATCTAAAGCAGGAAAGGGGAAGAGAACCCAAGCAAGGTCAATATCTCCGAGGAACAGGTCCCTAAATCATGTACCAACTTTCTTTAACCGTGGCGACAGGTCAAATTGACCCAGTTCCCTCTCTCCCCATCTTTCTCTCTCTTCCTCCACCTTTTGGATGTTGAGTATCCTCAAATGATTATGCAATACCAATCACGAGATACAACATACCAGATGGTCAAGTGTTACAAGGATTTTGTCTTGTTACTAATATTGGGACTTATTTACGTATGGCCCTTTCTGTTATCAAGGGATTGCGTATTATCATTAGCATATTTCATTAAGTACACTGACAAACTTCTAAAATACATTAGCATACAAATTATATAAGACGGTCAAGTCTTACAAGGATTTATTTCGATTACTAATTTTTGGGCCTTACGTATAGCCCTTAATCGACAGATGGCACCACTGTCGTTAACATATATCCAAAGTTTATTAACTCAACGACACGTGTTATTCTGAATAAGTAAATAAAGGGTCAATCACGACAAACGTATCACCTGAAGTTGTCCATTTGACTTCTATGGTAGAACCAACTTCAGGTTGTACGTTTGTACTGAATAACCCTGTATGTATAAATGATGCAAGATCAATGTATGGGAAGTTTCTTATGGACTTAATCAATGTTTTGTTTTTGAAAAAATTAATTAATCACATTACTAAACGGTGGTCATTGAAGTTTCTATGGATGCGGCGGAAATTGAAAGGAAGAGTCGTACCCAAGGAGGTTTATCGACCTCTCTGACGTAGAAAACCAGTGAGGTACCCATGTGTCTTCAGACCGACATTGACTAATACTGTAAAACTAGCAAAAATGAATATACATGTACCATATATCGGTGCAAAGATCGTTGGACGTTTGTGCAACTTAGATGATGGACCAAGGCCACGTCTTTGAAGTGAAATGTCAAATATACATACACTAGAGCGGATCAATGTCCTCGGATTTTTATTAGCGTTCAACTATTCTTTTATTGATCATTATCATTTCTATAAAGTGCATTGAGCGAGATGTTACGTTTTTTTCGTGGTCGTCTTAAAAGATTCACAAATATTTTCAAATATATAAATTTGTACTACCATGAAACGATTTTACAAGGTTTTTATTGAACTCTGTGATGCATGAAATATACGGAACTTGGAATTTCTACATAATCGTTCAATTTTCGAATTTTTCTCAAAAATTCAATCACCGATGATTGTGACAACACAGATGACGATGCACAGCGTTTCCAGTTACTTCACGGCGAAAACCACAATTATTCTAATACGAGGTCGAATTTATTCTCCCATCTTTCGATAATACCTTCTTGTGAAAAACTTTGAAATTTCCACTTTTTCAAGCGCGATACTTTATATCTGAAATCCGCTTGGTCCTTTGCACATTTTATATCTCAGATCTCAAGATGATTAATATGAGAAGCTTGCAATTGAAACGAGGACGGGAGTTTTGTTTCGATATGCTTCTATACTAATAATTCATTTTTTAAATCGACAATTAATTATTAAAACGTCCATGAGCGAATCTGAGACTTTTTAATACGATGCTGCACGATGAAAATGTAGGTAAAAATAATTATTACTTTTCAAAGACTATCGTCTTACGCTCGAAATACCTTAAGTAACGTACTATCGAAAGATATGGGTAACTGCAATTTAAACAAAGAAATTCATAGGTTTTTCCTAACCGATTTCTTAACCGGATATTTCGCTATGTATATGTATACATATATGTATGACTTTAACGCACCTCGCAGGAATCCATTCTAATCTATTTTACGTAATTTAAAACTTTTCCGTATTCACCAATTCCGTAACGCAATTCTGTACTAATGACATCTGAAGTGACACACTTTCATCCCGAAGGATTTTATCTTCGAATTCTTCTCCATCCCTTCTACGCGAAAATCACTGACGCGTAAGATAGCCGCACCCGTGGTACAAACAAAAAGACGTTTATAATTGTCAGGTATTTTTCAAGATTTGTACAAGAAAGTATGCGAAATAAATGCAGGCAAAATTTTGCGAATTACGAACTGCGCGATAAGAATATATTTAAAAACGAATGATTCTGATCATTATTTATTGTTGATTCGTGTGAAAGTATAATGCTACTAAAAGAAAATCATTAGAGAAAATTTTTGAAAATTTATTAAGGCGGTTCTCATGAAATTCTTAAAAAATTTATCAATCGCATTAATCGGGTGGGACTGTGCCACCTAGTACGATAATTAGGTAATTGGCACCAAAAGCATGTCCGACGTTAGAATTACGTACTATCGTCTCACAATCGGTATGGACAAACACGTGGTCAGCCTGAACGAGAGTGAAAGTGAAATGATCGTTGGTGCCTCGGGTCCACGTGGTTGTGTAGTCCTCGCAAGTACTTGGTGTAGTTGTAATACAGCAAGGGACGAACAACTACCGTACCAGCAAGAATTCAATAACTCCAGTGTTAAGTTCCTGTGGATTTTGCTGGTTGAAAACAATGTAGTAATGTGACGTGCGGTGTGACATGCAATTCCAAATGATACGACGTAAAAAACTGTAATGCAAAAAATTTTTAACCTATATAATTGTTGTGCTGCTTTTTTCATTCTTTGTTTTTTTACTTTTCGTCGAAGCAACAGATTTTTTCAAGCGATCGAAATTTTCCTGTCGAAGGATACAGCTTTCGTGGAATTGCGTAGAAAGTGTTTCTGGATCCTGTTCCATTCTCAGGCTCAATGCATACCAGGAACTGTTATTATTATTATAGCGGTGCACATTATTGCAGTCCGATCTCGTTGAAGGTTTCGTAAAAGACGCCATGTCGATATTCGGTTCACGTATCGTCACGACATCACGTACGCCTGTGTCAAAATTTATCGGGCCCCCGAAACTTTGTAGAATGGACCCTGTGTGCGTTTAATCATGTATCGTAGTCCAGTAACGTTACGGCTTTCCTGAGGTTAATACTGATGGTGGAATTGCTTAGGGATAACCGTGAGTCATTGAGAATTTATCAATTTCATTTTTTTTGGGCCTCATGTATTAGGATATTCCATGTGCATTAATTGGCATATCAAAACGTATAGTATATTATGCATTGGAATTGCTATGATATTTATTTCTGATTTCGTACCTACAATGATTCATTCTGTGTTGCTTCATTGTGCTTTAATTGGAATTGCCTATTAGTTTCTCTTGTGGTTTTATGCAACTTTCATCAATTAAATTAGTGACTATTAAATGTGTTAGATTGGACAATTCCTGGTAACAAATAACGATTCTTTTCATTTATGTAACTTCCGTTGTAATGGAATTTCATTCAATGCTAAATTGATAATGATTTTTATTTCAGATGCCTTCCATCGCTAACAGAGTCAACATCCTGATTTGCTTATTGATCTGTGTCATCGAATGTTCTCAAGTTACTTCTCAACAAGCTTATTGGATTCCATACACCGCTATAAATAATTATGACAATTACCAATTACCGGTAAGAGAATTTGCTCAAGGAATTGTCCAGCAGTCCCCAGAGACGCATTACGAAAATTTAGAATATTATGAAGGAGAGGACAGAAAGATATACAAAAATCAGCAAGCAATTCCATCAGTGGAATTGCAAAATAACTATCGATTTTATCAAGTGCCACAAAGAAGTCCACAGGATCTTTATTACCGAAATTTTGTTGGAACAACAGCAATTCCACGAGAGTATAAAGAGACCGTACCCAGCAAACAGTATCGGGATAATTATTATCAGGACTACCTTCCCCTCGAATCACAAGAAACAAAGAAGGAGCCCGTGGATTCATCAAGGAATTTCAAAACGACTGACAAAGACGAGCAATTCCATAAAAAAATTAATATACTTGAAAAAATGCTAATGGATGTGCATTATCGTCCAAGTTCTGAAGCAACGGAAATCATGAATTCCCTGGAAGATCAAATGTTATCAGAGTCTAAAATTCCAGAAGATGCCAAGAGAGTCGCCAGGCAAATCCAGAAACAACGACCAGGATTCTTATGGACTCTGGCACGAGTAGCCTTTGAGGTTAGTGAAAGTTGACAAGGTTCAATTATACTATGATAGGAAAGATTGCATTTTATCATTTGCCGTATCGAATTAATATTGATCAGTTACGGTCCAAATACTTTTTTTTTTCTTAGTTCCGGCATGTTGTTCCTATATACATATAATAACACAAACATCTAGGTTCTCCTAGAATGTATCGACCGTCTCCACAGCCGTGTATCACGGGTTGTCATATATTCAGGCGTCTTCCAAATTACGTGTTAATAATTATTCTATTATTAACACCCAAATACCATTACTAAAGCTAATTGAATTTTAAATTGCAGAGTTTCAACGATACTCGATCAGCTTTCAAGCAAATTGGTGAACTTGTAAACGATAATTTTGCACCAGAAACCACTACTAGCAGGACGTCTGTCACTAGCAATACTATAGTGAGTTCCACGACAGTAGCAAGTACAACAGTTGATGATAGCAATTCCAACGTTACTACAACAACAAGTACCACTACGGAAACGCCCAAGTTAACTAGGACGGAATTTCAAGGAATTGTCAGAAGAAATCTTCGTGGACTCATTAGATTGTTCAATATTGAATGGAGAGATGCGATCAACGTAAGTTTAATTGTGGAATGATATTTTTCTTCTAAAGCTGCCCCAAAATTTAAAACATTCTTTTTACAATATTAACCTTTTTTTGTTGTTTTAGGATTCCAAGATCAGTGTACGCGAATTTCAGCGTGATCTTGGTAATCAGATTCGACCTTACATTCAAGACTAAATGAAGCGTACCTGAGAGAATATAATGTTTTTGCTGTAAAACACATAAGTGGATTCGACAGTGAGAGAATATCTGCATGGCATGAACAAGAGTGCTGATTCATATGTACCTAATGAACTTTACGAAGTAATGCGGGAGTACGAATGGCCAAAGACTGAATTCGTCAAAACTAACACGATCATATATATTTATTCACGTAATTTATTAATTTATCAAAATCGCTTGTGAAGTCAAAGCGTCGCCATTGAATTTGCAAAGAAAGTCTATCCATGGCCCACCGTAGTTGTCACGGGGAAGGAAAAGAGAAAGAGGGAAGATAAATTAAAAAAAAGGTCCGCAAAAATGAGTATTTTTCGAAATCGAACATGAATACAAAATTCGCAGCCCGTTTAAGCTTCGTTGTCCTTAAAATATATTCAATGGTGTATATTCCATTGTAAATTTTTTTTAATTTTCAACTTCAAAATAAATTTTTTTGCAAATGCTAAATCTGTATATTGTATATATTGCATTTCGAGGGATACAGTAATCATATACGTGAACCTATCGGACCCAGTATTATGTAATAACGCAAAGTCGGCCTACGCGTGTCTGCTGTGCTGAAAGAAAAAGTATAAAGAAAAAAGATAAAGAGTTACATAGTAGAGAAAGAGGAAGAGAAGGAAAATATATGCCGGCTTCTCGAATAAAAACGAGATTCTCCCGATTGCGACAGTAGAAAGCAAACTCGTGGAATATACGAGCGTTGATTGGTTAGAGGGATGGCGTGGGATTGGGCGACGCTTCCCTTAAAGACAGGCTCACTTGTGCGCGCGACAACCACTTAATCGTCATTTGTGAACACACGAGGACATTGCGATTAAATTAGTTTACTTAAAATTTGCGAAAGAAAAGTTGAAGTAAAAAAAAAGAAGAAAAGCACAAAACGAATTATGGTTGGTCACCATATTGTTTCTGTTCTCTTCGCCATTCTAAGTGTTTCGTTTAGCGAAGTATACGGAGTAAGTGACATAATTAACATATAAAATATTTGACCTCGCAAAAGCTCAAAAATAAATGGTCAAAATTATCGAATTTTTTTAAATCAAAAAATAAACTGACAACTTGTTAAATTATTATTTTTGAAATCCCATCATTATCTGCGTTTTAATACCAAAAAACAAAGTGTATTTATTAGCGTAAAAAATCAAGATGCTCATCACGGACTATATCCCAGTAATACTAGACTCCTAAGAATTATTCAAAAAATTTGTCAAATAAACACTGCATAAGCTCACTATGTTTTTTTATTATATAAAATAGCACAAATCCCAAATTTTGTTCGATATTCTTGATCAGAGTATTTTTTTATTAAAGCAAATCCTGCTTGACTTTCATTCACGAAAGTTGTGCAATCCTCAAGGTCTCGTGCTAGATTCGCGCGCGAAAATACGAAATGTATACGGGCTGTGATCATCCACCGTTACATAATACCACAAAATACCATCGTGGTTTGATGAAGCATCGTCCTAACAATTTTTTCGACAATCTACCTAGCTAAGGATCATTGACCTATTGTTCCAGGAAAGGTTGCGTTACGTAACTTACAACATGTTATCCATCTGGATTAATTTATGAACGACTCAAATTCAAACTATAAGATAATCCATTCGATCCGAATCGTCCAAAATCTTTATGCCAACGATTAGCGTTATGGATATATTCGCATAAATTTCGTAAAATAGAAAAAAATCTCACACAAGAGTTCACCATCCATGTTTGCACATATTCGCGTGCATATGGCCGGGTGAAAGTGAAAATAATACTTGGACAAATTTACTATGTAATATATCGCTTTACCGAGAATTGGCGCATAAACTGAATAATTTATGCAAAATAATTTTGCTCTTGCGTCATGTCTTTATCACGGTAATAAGCTTGAAAAGTTACTATATAATTTGCCATATAAAGAATCTTTATAATCCTTACAGAATACCTTGATTAGAGTGAAGCGTCAGGGGCAGGGACCAAGTGGCGAAATCGTAGACAACATTTTCAACGTGAGTAACATACAATGTTATCTGTATTTAAATTCATTGGAATGTTATAAATAAATTACAATTACGAACAATAATTTTTCAGATACCAATAACAGCCATTCGACAAACCGCTACAGCCGCGCAGACGTTTTTGCCGGAAAATACCGAAACTATTGATAGCGTCTTTAAGGTAATATGACAGTTAATCTATTACTTTCTCATCGCATACAAAGTACGTAAGAAAGTATTGCAGTCCGAAAAAAATCGACCCCCAGATTTTAATGGAAATACATGTTTTGAGGGTCCTAGATTTAAAAAAAAAGCATTCACTCATTTCTGTCTGTCTGTCTGTGGTAAATTCTGTCCGAAAACACGTTAACTTTCCAAAGAGGCTGCGGATCGCAATTAAATTTGTTGTGTGTTTTCCGTGTATAAAATGTAGTTTTGGTATTGTAATTGACACCAAAACACCAATCCGTTCTGGCACTTTACCTGAAATGTGAAAAATAAAAAAAAAGTTTGTATCGATAGTCTGATTAAAAAATTACTATGCTCTAGTTTGCAGTATACAGACCTTTTTCTTTACCAGTTTTATGAGAGCCAATAGAAAAGTCTCCTCGGTATACGTCAATATCTGGACGTAGATACAATAGATACAAGTCGACAAAAAACTGACTAAACTAAAAGAATTCTCTATTTCAACTCTACATCACTCGATTCTTAACATCAAGTACCTTCACAACCGTAACGTGATGCCAGTAACAATCGTGATGAGGAAATCACGTGTTGCGATCACGCCAGTAGCACCATTTTTTTTAGAAATTATATTTCTCTAAACACTATTAATTACGTATAGGCATTCATTGATCTTGCTCGATAGATTCCTATTATGACTTTGGAGGCTGTCGGTAATCTGGTGAAGAGTACAGCGCCACAGCGGGAAGAAATACAACGACGCCGTGCAGAGAGACGCGACCAGGTACAGGCGCAACGCGAACAGCAACGAATACAACGAGAACAGCAGCGCCTCCAGCGTGAAAAGTTACAACAGGACAAATTTGAGCGTCGTAAGCAACGCGTACCTCGCCATTACCATCATGATCCGTTGGGTTTGAATTCACTGGCGAATCTACTGGTCGGCCATCATGGAATCCTCAGCGGTCATTCCGGTCTTGATAGTCTCTTTACGTTTGGCCATCAGAGCCACAATAACAACCACGGTAACCATGGAAACCATCAAGAGATTATAGGAAGCCATGGAGGTCATGGAGGCCACGGTGGTCATGGAGGTCATGGAGGTCATGGAAGTCATGGTAGCCATGGTGCATAATTTTAATTAATACCATTAATTCCATTTATTCAAGTAATCTAAAAGAAATTAATTTTTAACATATCATTTAGGAAGCCACGGTAGCGGAAGTGGGGAGAACACTTATGAAGTATACGAGGAAGTGATAGAAGACACGAAACCCACGCTTTGGCAAGGATTGGGAAGTTTCTTCGGGTCTCAGGCCTCGGCGTCGTCCGGCAAAATACAGAACAAAGTGGCGCCAAAAGTTGAGCGAAATAAATATAGTAGATATCAAGACGACGAGCCTCCACTGGAAAATAAAATAGCACCGAAATACAACAGTGGATTTTTCCCGGCATCGTCAGACGACGAATATGTCGCTAATGAACGGAACGGCAGAAGTAGGCTAGTGTTCGAACACAGGAGCATCTGACATGACTCTGATAAAGAAAACAAATATCTATAACAGTCATGGGCCAATATCATGAAAACGAAGACACGATTTTTCCAGAAAATGTACAGTGGTAATTGAATAGCGCCATAAAATTTTCCAAGCTTGCAGTCACTGTGAATAATCTAATTAATATGTATATACTAATTAAATCATTAATCATCGTCTTAAGCATACCTGTATATATACATATATTGTAAACGTAATTTTGCTAGTAATTTATTTTTAATAAAAATTCCTAATTATGCACTTACGCATTTGGCTCGCCGGTAGGAATCCTCTCAAAAATATTTCTTCGTCACAGCACTTGGAGAAAAAATATACAAAAATTGCATAAGTTCAAAGTTCTTGAAATCCCGTGAATCTCATAAATTATAATTTTAAATGACTATACTTTCGACTATTCAAATATAATTAATATAAATGTCCCTAATTGTACACACTTAAGCTCTTAGGATTCCGCTATTATAAAATGTCCAACCAAGAAAAACACTATAAAATTGACAAGTCACGATTAAATTTGTCAAAAATAACGCAAAACGAAATACGAATTTATGTCATTAATTTTAATTCTCTTTATGAATTGTCCCGACGCACTCAATTAGTCCCCCAAATGTCTGCAATAGTAATAATAGACGATAATAATATGCACTCACAGTTAAAAACCTTGACTTGTAGTGCGTACTTTAATAGTTTTGCCTGGTAATCCCATGTGTGTGCGTAATAGAAATACGACACCCTGATTGGTTAAATTCCTAAGAATACCCCTACTACGTTTAAGAAATATACCTTGAGGAAACATTTTAGAATTCATCTTGTTTGCCAGTTTCAATTGCCGTGAAGAACAGTGACGATGAAGATGGAATCAAGGAAGGTAGAGATTGTGCTGCTGCTCTTTGGATTGGCGGCCATTGCCACAGTAGAGGCACAGGTAATATCAATTCGATATTCATATGCTGTATCAAACAACGGCTGATACGTGCAATGAAATTGAAAATAAACTTGAATTATCCACGTTACGATATACAGTATTATTTTAATCTAAATAACAAAGCCGCTCGACTAAACTGGTTTTTGACGAACTCGAGCATCTTACTTGCTTTTATATCCTGTTTACCTTGAAACGCGTATTAACGTCAGTGTACTCAGGCATTAATACATGTACGTGCCATAGGAGCATGTGTGATAGGTTTAATTCGTGGGTATATTAAAACCTCATTATATGGTTCATATAAAGGATGTGTTTAGAATGTTGGACTTTTTATTTTTAGAATATCCGCATGTCTGTTCGTGTATTGAGTAAAGTCATTAGGTGATGTTTGCAAGATATTACAAAAACGTAAGAAAAACGGGTAACGTCAGTAATGATTAAACTTAGCCTAGAGGTTACCTCTGTTTTGCAGCTACTTTCATATTGTCATTAATATATCTGATAGACGTGTACCTACTTAGTGGTTTTGTGTGTGTCCTAAAAAATTCCGTTGACGTTTGATCTGATCAAAGTGCAGGTGCAGTAAATATTTGTCTGTTAATTCTCAGATTCCGTTTCTACAATTTACTGATGGTGGGGTCAAGGTCAATTTTGCTGGGTACCACGCTCAGGCTGGTTTAGGTGGTTTATTGGGAGGTGCAAAGGCGGGTGGAGGTTTGCACGCAAGTGCAGGTACGCCAACGGGTGCACATGCATCTGCAGGTTTAGACGGACTTCTGACTGGCAATACAGCGAATGCTGGTGGGTACATTTAAAGATGAAGTATTATTATGCATTTTGTGTCATTAAAAAAAATTGTCTTTATCGCAGGTGGCGGGCTTCACGCTAGAGCAGGACTAGGTAACGGTGGTCCTGAAGCTGCAGCTGGTCTTGGAGGTGCATTAGATGGAGGCGCAGGTTCGTCGGCAGCAGGCGGATTATACGCTGGCGCAACTGCTGGTGGTGGAGCAAGTGCAGATGCAGTAGCAACAGGCGCCGTTGGTAACAATATTCAAGTGATAAGCAAACCTGCGAAGAAGAATGTTGGAGTCTATAAACAGAAGGCAGCAGGAGAGTCGTCTGCATCTGCAGGACTTTTTGGCAATATCAATGCAGGTGCAAGTGCAAGTGCAGATTCCGCAGCCGCAGTTAACACTCGCATAAACACTGTTAAGGATGATGTTCAGGTGCGAAATCTAGAGGCACCCCCTGTTGCGGCTGGACCAGCTTTCGCAGATGCCGGTCTCTTCGGAGGACTCTATGCAGGTGCAGGAACTGGCAGTGGCAGTGCTGTTGTCAAAACAGTGGAAAAAACGCATGTTCCAATTCAAAGACCTGTTGTGGAAACTGCACCTGCTAATGCAGGTGCAAGTGCACAGGGCGCACTATATGCCGGAGCTAGTTTGGGTAGGAATCTTACAATTTTAGTTTCTGTGCAACGTATACCGAAATATATTTTTGCCGCACCTGCAACCCCAGATTTTGAATTTTTTTCAGGTGGGGAATCCTACGTGGAGAAACCAGTATATCCTGCACGATGGCATCATATTAAAAGGATTCATGTAGCTCCGAAGGAAACTGTAAATTATGGTTCCTCCTCTGCTCTGAACGCAAATGCAGAAGCTCAGGGTTCGGCTTCCGCGTCGGCTGGTCTCTCCGGTGGATTATATTCGAGAGCAGGCATAGAAGGTGGATCTGAAAATGGTGCAACAGTAACAAAATATAAAAGTGCCACTTTTTTCGATGACGTCTTTAATGTGAGTAATGAAAACATTATCAGACTTACTTTTAGCTAATAGAATAAAGATAGATAAAAATGTAAAATGCCATCTGGAATGACCAATCCATTTAACGTATTAGGACTTCCTTATGGCATTCACGATCCGCAAACAAATCCGTTTTTGCTCATGATCGTGAGCAGATTTAATTATTCACTATTCAACAAAGTAAACAAATTTAAACTCAAGTTAAATCTCTTTTTCATCTTTGCAGATACCAATCTCCACGCTTACAGCTGTAAACCAGCTACTGAAAAACAAGGGTTAAGGAAAATTTATCTTATCTTTTATACTTCGTGGAAATATATTTTACTTCGACTTTTTATTCATTAATGTACTTGTTTACTGCTACATTGTCTTTATCAAATATTTCATACTTTACTTATTTCTTACGTTCTATAAGTTTTCAATGTTAAAATACTGAACAAAAAATATGTTCGTTTTTTAACTGAATCAAAATATACAATGTATACCCGGTAATCGGCATCTATAATAATACTGAAATAAACACTAATCTTTAACCACCTTGTTTATTGTTCTTTGTTTGAACCATTGTCATTTTAAACAGTCGTTCATAACGCGAGTCACGTTCACATTTATACACGCACCAAATGATTCACGATGCATAATAAAATCGTTCAAAAAAAATTCTTCAGAAATATGCGACCTTCAATTTCGAAGGTTTACCTTTGCAAAAATTGCTGTGATATCCATTCGATGGTTATTAAAAAAAAAATTTTCAAAGTCATTAATGAAAAATTAATCGCTGATACCAAATCTCGTTCAGTGGGATTCACAGTACAAAGCATTAGATAATGTACAAAGTGATCTATGTTTTTTATACTCTAAACCGGAAGTAATAATCGCTCGACTGGTCAGAAGGCACGAGGTCCGTCCGTTCTCCTGATGGTTTCCAATGTGGATGGATCATTCGATCGAAGACCGTGACTCGGACAAGTTGTCAAGAAGGTACCGATCCAATTTCATAGACGATTTTCAATAGTGAAAAACAGATCGATAGAACCGGTAAGTTCATCAATTTTATTATACTTATATAAATCAAATAATTCTTCTGTCGCGAAAATTCTGTCAATTTAAAAAAAAAATTATAGTAAATGTCATGAAAATCAATATAATAATATTATACAGAGTGATTCACAAGAAACGCACCACGAAGATGGTTCTACGTAGAAATCAAACGTTCAGGCTAATTTCAATTCACGCGTTTGTTGTGAATAACCCTATATATTCTTATACGTGACGTGTATAAATTTCAATGGAAAGGAACATTGACCCAACATAATATTACAAACTAGACACACACATTGCCAGTAGTTCGTAGATAATTAAGTTACCTAACTGTTCGAGTAATTAGCGCGTACACACGAAAATATGTGCACGGTCAAGCATGCCTCACGATAAGTATAAATTTTCCCAATTCCTTTAAATATAAATAGAATACAGCACATGATTTCAGGTTAACTAGCAGCCTACAAAAGTGCCTTCTAAAGACGTAATTCTCAAAATTCAGATCAGTATCAGACACTTTGATTTTGAGTCTAACCCGTTTATCATAATGACTGTACTTAATGGGGTAGCAACATGCTTTTGCGGTAATGCTAATTCGCCAAGTAAACTTAACGGGAGTGGTGAGGGCTTCTTAACCGTAAGCTGACTAGCGTGCTGGTTCATTCGTAGGTAGCAAGTTGCTCGAGCAGTTTCGTGTTGCCAATAAAGAACTGTTGCGCCGGTGTTGCTTAAATCGAAAATATATTTACAGAAAGTAACCAGAGCATTTTAAAAGAATTCAAAAATGCGCGGGGAAATATTTTTCTTGATCGTTTTCATCGCTAGCGCTATAGCTATGCCCACGGATAGCAGGGTGAGTTGAATTTTATTATGTTTTTTTTTTTTATTAATATTTACTAATAATCAAACAACTTTGTGATCTTGCCGTCGCCTTAGCAGTCAATCTCTATTAAGCATGCGTGGCAAATGACTTTCATTCGTGGAATTATCAGTGGTCCAATGACGCTGACTAGCAGGTTTAAGAGACGCAGCAATGACGCAGCTGCATACTTTCACGGAGAAAGTCAAGAACCCGTTGCTGCGGTCAACTGCCTTTCAGGGAGTCTAGAGCCTTCTGCGTTACCTAGTACTTATTAGAATTACATTGCTTTTTTGTTGTGCCGATGACAAAGAAAGATCAAGGGGAATAAGGAAAACTCATAAGAAACCACGTGACAAGAACAAGATTCAAAAAGGCATGGCACGGAGTGACCGAGAAATCAGAAATTTAATGTGCTCAAATAATTCTTTGTTTTCTACAGGAGGAAGAATCTCGTCTCAGTAACGAGATCCTTCCTGGAGTAATCGAGGTGCAAGACGAAACTTCACAGGAAGTTATTACAACGACCAAAGAGGAAGCGATAACAACGAGACAACCAGCTTTGGATGACCCACCAACTGTGAAGCCTGGAATTCGCAAGACACCCAAACAAAATGGTTCTACGGTTTCTCAGACCTTTTCTCGTGTGATTGATGACATCTTCAATGTAAGTTTTCTTCCGTTTTTTTTTTGTCCTAGAACTAGTACACTGTACGTAATCCATAACGCAAATGGTAAACTGGGGTCATTTGTATCTTAACCATTTTTTTTAAATATTTACAACGCATTTCAAATTTTTCCAAAACTTACGATGTTTCAATTCTCTTCTACAAATTGCAAATGTTTCGCAGAAAAATTATTACTTTGTCAATTAATACATTTCGAACGAATGCGTCACCTATGATAGTATTGGCAGATTCGGAATACAAAGCACTTCCATGTGTAGCTGATTCTTGCCCTTAGTCTGTAATATCTTGAGAATAAATAGGATATTATTATTATTATTATTATTATATCTTGACAATTAAGAACAGTACAATAGGATCACTAATGGCAACGCTAAGAAATGTTGCAGTTGCCACGTTGACAGAACCTTGGATACTGAGTGGTCGTAGATACATGATCCGTTAGGACCACAACATTTTTGCAAGGGGTCATTCTAACATACATTGTAACGGTCCACTATTGTAAGAATTATAAAGGGAAAAAAATGACCCTAGTAAATAGTTCCAAATTTAATATACGTAAAACAATATTTAAAATTGGCTGCAAGCGTAAAAATGGAATGCATATAATTTTGAAAATTTTTCAGATTCCGATTTCCGTCTTGCGCGCAGTAAATACTCTGTTAAACAATGCATTTGGTAACAAATCGACACCGGCATCTTCGGCGGGAGTGACGTCAATACCAGAGGTTTGAAAGAAGAGGGAAGAAATAACGTTAAAAATAATTTTGAAAAATTAAGATATCGAAACCTCTTCTCATCCCAACCAACGACGTCATAAGTACGATTTAAAAATGTAATTTATAAGAAAAAAAAGAAAATTGCGTGTATTGGCTGTTTGGTCGTAAAAGAAAAGTAAGCGTCCGTTTGGTTAGAATGATAACAGGCAACGTAACCGGATATAGATTTAATAAAGAGAAATATTCTCGTATCCACAGTGAATAGACATAGATAAGTGGGTAAAATCACGTATACCTTTATACAGTAGATACATACGTGGTTAGATTAGGCAATACGTGAGTACTTGCGTCACGTCACCAATTGTACAAAATTGTGTGGAAACATGCAATTTTCTATATGTACTTACGATTGTCCTTCTGCTCGTCCTTCCTTTGTTGTTTATCTTTGTCTCGCACCGTCCAGCTTTATATTATATATATTTTCTACCAATGACATACATATTTCGCATAAAGGTTGATTTCGCATGATGCATGTTCCATTGATATAACGATCACTATTTATTGTATTGTTTGTATCGTCAATAAAGATGCTACACGACTGAATAATATGGCTGCTGTTTGACGAAGGTAAATCGAAAGAGAAAGCTAGCCCGTGTCGTAAGATCTTGTTAAGTCGAAGTCGACTTTAGGATTCAGTTAGTTGCTGACCGCACAACGCTCAGAGCCGGTATCAGTGTCGACAGTTGGTAAGCGTGAAGGAATTTTGCGTTCCTGTTATTTTATTTCTTCTTCCTTTTACCTACCTTAACCCTTATGCACATTTTGCACTAGACGCACTAGACGTTACGTACTGTATGTGCCTTCTGCGCATCCTCTTATGCGCAGGACTCTTAAAATGGATATCAGCATTCTTTTTCTTTTCTTTGACGTAATTTTAAATGTATAATATGAATAGATGATTTTTTCGTTTAGAAAGACACATAACTATATGAAGTTGCTAATTTCTTTTTAGTCAAATAAAAAGGACGTCTAACGTTTTCTTATTCATGACAAGCAACTCCAGTGTCACCGCGATGCTAGTGAGTCAGTTTATTTCACGCGAGAAAATTCTAAGAATATCTTTTGGTGAAACGTCTTTTACGTAATTTCTGTTGAAAAAGAGAAATTAACATGTCAATGAGTATCGTTTTTAAATATAAATTCCTGTTGCTATGAATCTTCAAATTTTTTACGTGTTTTCGTTTTGTGATAGATGCATTCTTTGTCAATGTCTAAAGAGAACATATGCAGCAACTGCATATGTTGGATACTGACCCATTGGCGCAATCTGAACTTTTCAATGGATATTTCATAAAAAAGATTAAATACTCGAAGGCCACAACTCGTAACGTAGTCGCCACCTTTCCCAATAGCCAAGATAGTTAATGGCCTCTTAAGCCTTAGGCTTTTTTTATGAGTTTGCACACAGTTCGTCGTACGTGCATGTTGCAATTCTTTTTCAAGGCAATTTGCTATTCCCTTACCACTCACAACTAACGGCTCGTTTATCACGTAGGAGAGATATCAAATCGAATCGGATCGGATCATCCAGTCGTGCATAGAAACTCATCAACGTTGAATCATAAGCAGACACCTTCAGCGGACTAGATAGGAGAAAGGCAAGATGTTTAAACTCGAAATCATCCTAACCGTACTGACAATCAGTTTGAATTTGGCGCTCTCGAGACCTGCTGAAGAGCCAATCAGAATCGATCTGACGCCAACGCAAGCTACCGACTTGTCCAGCAGACTACAAGAAGGAAAGGTATTTACAAGTTGCATCTGGTTATACTGTTAAGTTTGTTGGTGGTTGGATTTTGAGTAGACCATTTCTCAGGAATTATTAGGACAATTAGCGGACAGAGTGAGATTCGGCAGAGGGAGATTCGTCAATTCGGCTGCCATGGTTAGAAACATCATTGTAAATCATGCTGAGGTAATACGAAACGATCGGTGACAGGGTTAGTTTTTATTCCATCACATTGTTGTGCTGATCGTGATGACATTGATAAATTATTAATGAACATAACGACGTAGGACAATAGTAGAATAATAAAATAAGTGAACAATGAAAGTTGTGCGTTACTGCAACGAGTTGTGCATGACGAAATTTAGAATACCGTAAAAAGCAAACTGAAAATTTCTTGCGAGTGGTCAGTTTATTCTCTCGTTCTTTACTCTCTCATAGGAAGCTGCCAGTGAAGCACAAAACAATGTGGCTTCAGTGATAGCGGCCAAGAGTGATATTGTGGCTCAAGGACAAAATGTCCTGAATTCTATTCAAAAAGGGGTCTTTGCTAACTTCCTAGCACCCAAGACACGTGAAACTGTACGACTTGAGAGTGAAGCTGGACAGGCTTTCTTTGAGAGAAACAAGGAGAGTCCTGTAGAAACAATCCTCGGAAATATTCTGAGACCGACGCCTTTGGTCGATGGAATTCGCGAGGAAGAAAAGTATGGCAACTCTGGTGACAAATTTTCTGGTATTGGCAGGGCGTTGGTTAATGGTTTCGAAGGAATCAGTAATTTTCTCAACAGCGTAGTAGACGTGAGTATTTGTTAACTTTTTCTTTGCTATTTTAATTATATCTTCATCTAAATAAGTATTTTCCTTCTATTCCGAAAATCGCACACCAAATTTTCGTTTCAGCTGCCCATCGACGCAGCTAAAAAAACTTCGCGCGGTGTCACGGAAGCACTCAACCAAATTGGCGCGCGATTAATAGGACTGCAGTGATAAGTGTCTGATAAGAAATACGAATAATGCATATGCAATGTATAAGAGTGGCCTGATCAAAATGTAAATAGGTGAGTTTTTGTAAATAAATATTTTGTTAATAATGAAAATTTAATGAGAATCCTGGCATATGATATTCTAACCTTCAAAAATTGTATAAATATATTATTTATTCGTTAAAACAATACATACATATGTTATACATATGTACCATATTCTTAAAAGACTCTATCATCGATTACATGGCGACTCAACAATCAATGACTGACTTCGATTTTCACATGCGAATGACACATGACAGAAAAAGACCTCGTAAGACGGGTATATTGAATCGAAAATTGTCGAAATTCATAAAACTAAATTGAAAAGGCAATTCGGCCTTTTGTTTCTTTCGGAATTATGAATCTCGAATTTCTTAAAAGAGTTTTCGAAAGTCGTCAATACCCTAGTAGTCAAAAATGCTATGTTCAAACATTGTCATCATAACGATAACACGCTTTACCCGAAGCCGTTTTATTGACAATATAGTGGGATATTCGGAGATGAGCAATTTTTAGCTATCTGGGTAAATCAACAAAAATACGAGAAACGGAATACTTGAAATCCTCTATCTTCGATTGAGAATTTTTGTGAAAAATCAAAATAAATATAGTTATATGTATATCCGTTCTAAGTGGTCGTGTCATAACTCTTATAGGTATGTGTTGACCTCTTATGCCTGACTGTACAAAATAGTATCATACTAGCTACTAAACCAAACAATTGAAGAAATCCAACAACAAGACCAACTGTGCCTACTACGTGTAATCTCGTGACAAGCCACATTTGTATGGCGGAAGCGCAGCCATTCTTATACCAGAGCTCCTTGTTTCGTCCCTCGGGATCCACTCGACCGCAGTACCGTTCCTGTCTTATGCAGCAAGAGTCAGGAACGCGATCTTCCGTGGGCCACGCGTCGATTTGGAACCAGTCGGTGTAGTCGCGTACGCCGCAACAGTGAAACTACAACAAGAACAATACACATTTCTTTCTAAATAACATTCAGGCCTTATTTCTCTTCACACCGGGTGAAAGTAATCCTGCATAGTTGACCATACAATCTCATTGAAAAAATACAATAATGTAAACAGCAAATAAAAAAAGGTACAAGAAAAAAAAATCTGGAACGTGACAATTGGTACAGGACATGAAAATCCGCAGGAAGTTAAAATTTCTCAACGCGCAGAGGAAGTTCTTGTAAAGCAACCGGATTTCCCAATCTACAGGTAACTATAGTTATTCGAGCACATATGGACTATATAAAATAAAGTAAAATAATATGTAATTAAAGTCTCTCACTTCGGTATGTATGTGGTCCCATACAGCAGGAAGTGTTCCTGGTTCCCTGGTGACGTTATAGTGTTTCTCAATACCAAAGAGCAACTCTTCCTTGAGACTCCTGGCAAGGTGTTCCCTGAAGACGAAGGCCAGAGTACCAAGCATGAATTCAGCCAGGAACATCAGTATCACGAGGCTGAAGTACTGCGCGAGAGATTAATGAAAATTCTCAAGTTAATCGCAACCATGTAATGAGACATTTACAACAATAGCAGTTATATTTAATCACGATAATTAATCCCACCGTAATTAGCATGCATCGTGCCTGAAACCAGGCACCACAGCAGCCGAAGAACGCGACGACGAAGGTGACGCATCCGGCGGCTAATAAAAGCGAATCTGCAGACGCAAAACTGTATTGCGGCACAAGTGTGGTGTAGCCTGAGTACGCCAATCGCAGCCACAGACCAGCCCCCAAAACTCCGCATGCGCACAACTGTCAAACAGAAACAAAAGTTCAACAAAAACAAACATCATCATCACCAACTAAGTTGCTACTACTTCCTCGCAACGCCACAGAAGCTGCACTGTACATTTTTATAACGGCTAATAGTATTCACAAATAGAATGCATCTTGCACTTTTTTCATTGTAAACGTGACCTTGACAATCAAATACACAGTAATGTTTAATTAACATGATTCTCATTAAAACAATAATCAAGTCACGACAGTAGTACGCATTCTAATCATCATCAACCACTAACACCTTTCACATTACTAAGAGAAAAATCGTTTATCCAATTTTACATTTTACTTCTCAAACCTGCGTGTCGCCTGATTCCGCGAAACTCCATTATTATTCTAGCTGCTAATATTAGTGGAAAAATATCTAATGAACATAGAATCCGTTGCATTTCGTACCGTACCTGAATTTTTTATTTCTATACAACTGAGGTCTCTTACATACTACATTATATACTCTACTATTTATTTAGCTACTTTGTGAGCCTAATAACAATGAGAAACATTTAGAAGGTGCCTGGTATTCCAGGTAAGTCAGTAGGTAACCTACTGAAGCGATAGCTATTACTGGTACCAGTGCTCTTGAGGATATTGACCTTATTGATATCATAGTAGAGACAGTTGAATCGATGAATGTTAAATGAGCAATGGCTACGTTATCATAATTTACTGCCAGTGGAACTGGTCAAGCATAAAGAAATCTATTAATCCCTAGTGCAGAGCGATGTAGTTTATTACGTCATGTAGATACGAGCTTGCATTAGCCTAGAACATTCAAGTGTCTAGAAGTTCGTGTTTATAATGTAGTAGCAACACACTACTAGTACTATGATTCGGTGGTCGTCTTATGTACCGTATGTATACTTAAGTATATATAGCTATTTACCTAGCAGAAGTTCAATGGCCCGCTTGATACCCCGTTAAGAATGAAATGGAGACGATATTATTTCGTGATACACAGTGTAGAGACGGAACAAAGCTTTTTGTGACCTTGGCGTATTTTATTTTTAATTCACCATGCGTTTGCGTACCTCGTGATAAGCAGCTTGAGCGAACTTTTCGGCTAAAGTATTTTTATACCATAGTAAGGATTACGGTGCTGCGCCACATCTTAATAATTCATGTGAACTTAATGAAAAATTGTATATATTCGACATACCGGTATTATCGAATTTTATTTATAACTCTGACGTTACATTATAATGGTATTACTTATTCTACTAAAATATTGTATCGTACAAACCCATATGAGGACATTGAGGGAGCAGAATACGTGCCTGATGCACGTATATCCTGTACGACTCATATCGTAATTTTTTCACTTGACGGAGAGAATCCTTAAATCGCGGTGTCTTTCCTGAAATTATTTAAAGTAAAAAAAAAATCAAAATTAGGATTATTAAAGAAATGTATATACACAGTATCAAGTAATATCTCTTTAAGTAATACAACAACGAACCTATCACTGACACACGCGACGCGGCTCAAACTGCACTTAGTAGCAGGAAGTCACTCATCCCGCGACGAGATAAATTTTCTCTCATTAGTTACAAGCAACCGTGTAATAAGAGCAATCCGTAAATGCAACAATTCACTAATCCGTAATTATGTAGAACAAAATGATTGCACTTTTCTTCATGAGCAATGACAAAATTCAAATTGAGACGATAATAGTGCTGTTTTAATCGAACAAAGAAATCACAACGCATCCGAAGTTTACTGGTCGAGAATCCGTTCAAAAGTGTCGAGATAGTATAGGTACCAGTCGTTCCGTACGACTTGTTGGCCCCGTGGGCCTTCTAGGTCCCCTAACGGGACATCATCAACAGTCACGGTTCCAGTCTCACCTACAACGTGGACGTTGGTGAGACTGTAAGTGGTGGCTGTAAGGGCGGCCTCTACTGATGGTGGGATACGCTCTCTCACCTAACGTCCAAATCCAAGAGGCGGATGCTTGATGCATTCGTAGAAGGGAATGCACCGGATGAGACTACGTCACACTCGCTTGAGAGAACTTGCGGGTTATCATAGTCAGTAGAGTTAAGAGTATTCTCCACTGTGCCGAATGTTTTTGATATTTCAAAAAATAATTTATCATACATATGCAAGAATATGTTTAGAGAGAAAAAATGGATCAGTTATTTTAGGATACTATATACACATATGTTTAGCAGATGAGAATTGTTTTTTAGACTAGGTATGTATATAGTATACTGCAAGTACCGGTGACATCCAGTTATGATATTGCCATTTGTTACAGAGTCTCATTATCAGATTAGAATAATATTGATCCTGTTTATCAATGACTATACAGAATATTTGTTCGTAAGACTGCGTGTGTGAATACTGTTTGTTGTTGTTGTATTTTATGTGTATTATTACGGAGTTTTAATAGTAGTACCTGATATTGGTGGTAGGTGACTTTAATTTTGTTTCTTGTTACAGAAGCGGTAAGAGGGACGGAGCTGAGAAAAATACTAGAGGAAAAAGAAGAAAAAGCACCAAATGGTACTACGGAATAGTCCGGATAACGTAACGCACGTAAATGGTAAAGAAGAGTACGGATGGGGGCGTAGAAACGGTCCCCAGGGACTTCCTGCCAATTGCGGACAATTTGCAATCATCTATGATCCCCACACGTTACGTCTCGCTACTCTGCCTAAGCTTGTGAACGGTGCTTAAAGTTTTAACGCAGAGTTGGATCTCGTCGAATCGCGCACACTAAAACGCCGACCTACGTTTGATGCTCCCACGGGAGAGCAGCGACTTTTTGAAAAGTTGAAAGACCGCGTGGGGAGGTTGACAAGTTTTCTACAATGCGATTCTGCAGTTTCATAGAAACTGCTTGAAGTATTTTTTCACAAATTTCTATCAAACTTTTATACGACTTAAATAAAATGTATATAGATGTATTTTGAAATTCATAATTATTCATTTTGGACGTATTCATCTAAATTAGGCATACTTAATTTACGACTCATATAGATCTGTCGAATCTGATCAACCTACTGATTATTGGATTAATTTATAATCGTCGTTGCGCAATCTACATACTCGTGTACCTACGTACAGTGCAATTGTCTTATGCAACTCTGCGAGTGCATCCACGTACTTAACGAATTGACCCATTTATCAAAATATCAATTTTCCCATGAGAAATCAATGCGTTTAATGACAGACGCTTCTCCTTCAAATACCTCCTATTCATTTGTATTAGCTCTTTGTATCCTCTGTACAAGATAACGTAATCAGTAAGGAAACAAGGAAAAACGATGGTCAATAATAATATACAAATATATACAAATATTATAAATTAACCAGTAAACAAAAAATTCACATATATCCATATATGAAATTGTAACAAATACTATGTAAAAACAATATATTTATAGCATGTGAAAATTGTAATACAAATTTATATAAATATATGTATATACATATATAGTGCGTAGTATTCATTTGCACAGTAATAGTTTCGTCCGTCAACTAGCAACGAGTTAATTCTTTCCGTCAGAATGTAAATCATCTCGTCAAGGTTAATGAGGCCTTGTGGACGTTTACAATAAATTTATCAGCATGGATGAAGCAGTACGAAGGTAACACGTCAATTAATTTGGGCCAATGAACTACGTAAGACTTCCCAGTGCGTTGTCGTACAAAAAATTATTGATTACTGAACAAAAATATATCGCAGTTCAAAGTCTGTCTGAAAATGTAAATTAGCGTTATTCAATGAAAACAGAATATCGCAGGTTTAATGATATGCAGGAATATTTGCGCGTGATGTAATAATGTAATTTTATCCGTACGTATTAACATGGTGAATGCCGTCATAAATGCAAGAATGCAAATGCGAACTGAACAGAGAGAAAACAGAGAGAGAGAGAGAGAGAGAGAGAGAGAGGAGAGAGCTACTGTTGGCTGAGCATTATTTTGATTAATTACGGGAAATAAAGTAAATTAATTATATATTATGATTCAACACGTATTCCTTAAATTATTAAATTGTATATATATTATTTAGAATCTTTCAAAATATATTTGTAATACTGTTAGTGTTGTGTCTATAGTTTTCCTTTTTGGGAAATCTGTATATGGGACTATTGCACAAATACGAACAATATAGTAAATGCAGTGAATATGCATAAGCCAGCAATATTCCGCTTGCGGAAAGAATCTCACAGCGTGTTTAATAAGGATGATTCGAAATGTCGTATTGTAATAAGAAACAAATTTATTTTCAAGTAATTATTAAAATGTTTTCAATACGTAATATTAAGATAAATACACGTGTAAATTCCTGATACCGCAATTACAGCTACCGCGCAATCACACGTCGTTATGGGAACGTTTGGATATTTCATTATTTACACATCGATAACAGTATCACACATCGTTAATGAATTATGTAGGAATGTAATGAATTATGAATAAAATGTATATTGCTTAAAAGAAGATTGCTACAAGAAGTTTGTATATATACTTCACTAATGAAAAGTTTAAATACATTTAAATAAAGCAAGGCGGTCAAATTAATTATTTTATACAGAAACAATAATATGCTCAAACTTACCGTACGAGTAGAAAGCACGGCACGCTTCTCTCAGGAACTGTCAAACTATTTTAACTAAATTTTTCTAGTCCAAAAGTCACATATGATATTACGTACGTTCTTCCACAGTAACAACATAAAGGTACAACGAGATAGTCGGAGGTCGCAAAACGACTACTCGTATGGCAATACTAACTGTCAGTTCAACAGATTGACTAAAAGCATGTGTCTCCATCTGGAGGAAACCGTAAAATGTTTGGAACACGTATGAATCATTGGATGACGATCTGTAGTGTATGCGGGTCAATATATTTTATTTAAAAAAAGGAAAGTTAAGAGATCGAGGAGAATTAAAGCCGAAAAAAATATTAAGCAAACAGAAATTTCTTTTTGTTTTCTATACATTTGAGACCAGAGGAGCGGAATAAAGAGGTCTCTGTTGGGCATGTATAAATGTTGAAAGATACCTCGTTAAAAAAAATATTCAGAGGTATTAAATTTTTTAGTACCGCGTCTGAGATGAATTTGAAGAAAGGATGGAAAGGCATTTAAGGGTTTTTTTAATAGTCTCTCCAAGAAACGTGTGAAGAATTCAATAGCTAGATTATTGTTGTATCTCTTCATATCCGGGGATTTAAACGTAGAAAAAAAGAGCATTGACCATTAATTATATAGTTAAAAAAATTCATTGTAAATAACATGACTACAATAAAATCAGTCAAGAATATTGATCAGTATAAAACAAAAACAGCATAACAAAACATCAATAACAATTATACCCAAAAAAAGAAACAAAATTAAATAAACTAAGTACCATAGTATTGATATCTCGGCTCTAAGAACACGTTTAAATAAAAGTAACCCAACGACCAATCAATAGTCGTTATGTTGCTGAATGTTAACCTTCCATTGGCTCTTAAGACGTTTTCAGTTATAAATATATTAAAAAACAACCCAGGTAACACATACTGTCCAAAGGTCATTTTTAAGACGCCTCATGCCAAAGTTATTGTCTTTTAGGCATCTTAAACATGATCTTAGGATTTATATGCTGTACGAGGAAGTGATAAATATACGAAGAAGATATAGTGCCCAAATCGCTAAAATAAAAATAATTTAACCATACATTTTGAGATTCTAAAGAGATGATGGTATATATCTTTTAAGCACTTTTTACGTTAATTCTGCTTCTTCAACTTTTTGGACGATTCCTCCATAGATTCCAGCCAGAGACTTAATTCCTTCGAAAGTTCTGGTCGCTTAGCTTCCGGCTCAACATCAGCAATAATTTCCGGTACTGTGACCTTGAGCCCAGTAACACTCTGTTTACTGAGAACCACAGCTCTCACGAAATTATCCGAAAGACTGATGAACTGATGTTCCAGGTAGAAATTTCTGTCGTCCCAGTAAATGAGCTATCAAATGAGAATCACTGATATAATTAGTTGTTCATATAACGGTACGTACCAACGTAACGCACAGTAACATAGCAAAATAATCATCGCCCGATTAGGGCTTCCATAAGGCGTTTGAACCTTGCGTACCTGAGTTGTGACCTTGTATGCTGTGAATATGGGAATAGCTCGACGGTATCTAGCAGACGATGCACCCTGGACAGCACCTCCACCTCTTTTGGCAATGGCACCATAAATTCCAGATCGATCGTAATAATGGAACCGTGCAAAATCAAGTTCGCGAAGATATCTGGCATTGTTCATGTGCTTGAGAAAGATGTCGACATCTTGCGCCGTGCACAAACCTAATAGTGCAAAGAAAACAAAGAAACCCCAAGGATGTGAGAAAACGTCAAAGGTGGGAGAGAGTTGCCACGTGTGATCATGTGTGCCCATGTGTGGTCATTACCGACTCAAACTTATGATGGCGTCCGATCAAACCATCCATAGGTAAATGGAAAGTTTTCTGATAATCGCCCATCCGGGCGTACTTAATTATTCCAGGATCATCAGGCGCCATGCAAATTGATACTGTTTATACGTAGATAATGTAATGCTTGCATAATCATTTCCTTCATGTACGTGATTTGATTTAGGAATTAAACGGTTACTCTGACTTCAGAATCGAAACAAAATCATAATCAGTATTATCCAAGGGAAATAACTGTACAAAAATAAAATGGACTTTAACGAGTTTATATTATTAGTGTAAAAAAAATACAATTACTCCCATTTGCAGTGAATAACTACATATGGTATTTTTTTAACAAGAATCCAGTAAGCCCGGTAAAAATTGTCCTTATTAAAAAAAAAACAAAGGTATATAAAAACATAATAAATATTGTGTTGTCTTACCATAGATCGTCGTCTTCTCAAAGATCTTCTTACGTTTTTGGAAAAGTCTACCGTAACCAATGACAAATGCAATCCTGATGAAATAATTGACGTCAAATAGTATGTAAAGTAAAGCTATAATGGCGACGCTGCAGTAACATAACATCTTCGTATATTCTTTTTATTCGTTCTATTTTAGTTATACCGTCTTCAAGAAATTACGTGTCTTCTATGACGATGCTAACCACGTAACGTGCGCTGGAAGACTGAACTGAATTGAACCGATCGGTGAGAAAATATTTGTTGGTTCTATTCGTAGCGCCACCGTCGCCTTATTGAAATATTAACATGGCGGTACAAACATTGGAAAGATGATGACGTTAACGAGCAATAGGAATAAACAGAATCTTGATACATAATTAGCCTTGCATGTGTATGAAAGCGGAAACACAGATAATCAATAATTCTGCAACTCTTGTCTATATTTCTCTCGCATTAAATAATCTTCTAACGGTATATTAAAACAGTATCCGATATTATAACGATCTCTAATGAGAGAACTATCTATGTAATATAATGAAGTGTCATCGATAAAATACGTGTATAGTTATGAACACGTATCAGTAATAAAGCTAATTTCACGTAATACCCTAAGGTTTTTTGGCCAGAATAATGCCCGTGCTTATCAATTTTCTAACTTAATAAATACCATTAAAGACAATAGTCTCACTGGTGGTCCATCAGTCGCCACTATACATACTATTTATGTATATATAAATCTACATATATGTATATAGTCCCTATATGGTATCACACGATTCATTATAGGAAACGTACACGATTACGTCGCGCGCACCAAATGTGACACAATGAACAGTTTATAAAAGCGTATCTCCAACTTCGTTAGACTGTTGTCGTTTCGCACGAAGATGCGCATGTTGGGACGCCGTTGCTGATGCCCGGCGTCGCCTCCTCCATTCGTCAGCAAGGCGTCGTCACGTTTTCCGGTTGTCTCAAGGTAGCGGATGATATCTCATTGCTCTCCAGCCATCTTGCTACTTCCGGTGGGATTTGAGGTCTGACATGCGGAATCTAAATACAATTAAATATTATTAAAAATAATATTACGGCAATAAGAATCAGTAGTACTAACTGTTTCGTTTTCTACATACTTATAAAAATGTATTATCGAATTATCTTCGATCTCAAACAATTTAAAAGTTACTTGCAAACTGTGATCTATGATCTATGATCTATGATCATAGATCTATAATCAATCCAATAAAGGTTATTATTTTTCTGACCAATCCATTAGATTACCAAATTATATTATAAGCATCAGATACAATCTATTATCAAGTGCTAATATTACCTGAGTAACTCCAGCTTCGACATTTTGATTCTGTTTGACTCCACGATCCATCAAAACACTAATCACAGCCTCCGCACTGCAGTCCAAAACTCTCTGCCTGCAGATTGCAATGGCTCTGACAAATCCATCACTCGGTGTAATGAATCGATGCTCCATAAAAATGGATTTGTCATCCCAATAAATAATCTGTATGTATCAAAGAGAAATTTAAATCAATAAAATACAGATATACAGTATCGTTGGTTTTCAGTGGAAGAAAATATTGGAAAAAATATGTATAAAATTCTCTAAGTGTATGTGATGGTTAATCAATTCCATGATGTCACTATAAGAATGTTAATGCACGATTATGATAATGAAGATTTTCATGACACGTAGAGCCTTGGCAAGCTACACTTAGAAATTGTCTGTGATATTATCAACTATTCTACTATCAGGCTCACCTATATATTATCATAACCTAATTACTAAACGATAATCATTGCAGTGTACCAAGTCCTTATTGTTCAGGATACAACAGACTCATTTCGAAGGGAAATGAGTCAAGATGGTTTCCATGAATGGAGCATAGGATACGCACTTGTATATTTATTCCTGGCAAATATTAGCTATCAATTTTTCGTCGTCCTGTTAACATTACATGTACCCAGAAGGTGGTAATTACAAATCCAAGAAACATTATTCATAATTCGTTATCAGTAGACGCAAGTCGTAACTAATCATTTGGTACTCAAATCAGCAGATATTAATCACGTCATATGATTACTGTCTGGAAATTTTCCTCACATTCGAATTGAACGTCATGTAATATACAATGATTGCATACCTTGGATGTTATCTTAAATATTGACAAGGGCTTCAGGAATCTTCTATAGCGTATAGTGGCCGCACCCTGTACCACACCGGTACCCTGACTACGAATCTCACGATAAAGACTCGTCCTTTCGTAGAAGTCGACCCTGGCAAAGTCCAACTCTCTCAGGTAACGTGCGTTATTCATGTGATAGAGAAGAGTATCGACGTCGGTGGTTGTGCAGATGCCTATTAAAAAATTATGAGAAAAAAATAGAGAATATTGTGATAAGTAATTTCGCCTTGAGGAACAATCACAAGATCATGCATTTACATCTTATGCATTGGTAATCGCGAAGAAAAATAGTTTTGCAGATCCGGGACTTTCAAAGAGTAATGTACTAGAAGTATATTTTTTTTTACCATAGCCAATACGTGAGTATCTCCGCACGTTTTATGCGATGATGACTCAAAATAATATTGAGTACCTATGTCATATCTTATAACGACAAAAGAGAAGTAAATTACAATACTCATTGAGTTTTAATATAAGATGAACTGGATTTCCATGAGCTTGAAAAATTCAGACAGAACCTTCGATTAGTCTTAAGGCTGACCTAGTCGTGATTAGTGTCCTTGTGTAAGAGAAGCCGTATTAGAAGAAACCCTTGAAGAACTAAAATTGCTATTCCAAATTGCACGGGTTTCCATTGCAAATACCGTTCTTGTGATGGGAGTAAAAATTCAAGATATTCTTTTTTTTTATTATCATGACTATTAATATACCTAACGACAATAAAAATTTCCATGACCTTTTCACAGTTCAGAAAGTGCCGAACCTGCTATGGAACAATCAATATATGCGCTGGTCGTACGACACGTGAGTTGCGTGATGGTCCCTCGTGTGGAGCAATAGGTCAAGGTTTAGGTTTGATATAATTGATCTATCGAAACTGTATTGCTTTTGATTTCAAGAATAAAATTTAAAAAAGAATTTTTTTAGGTATTTAAAATAATTGAAATTAATGATATTATTACCGTATACAGAAGTCTCGTCCAGGATGTGAACGCGCTTTTTGCAAAATCGCGCCAGAAAGAGTGTAAAGAACATGCGCAAAAAGTAGTGGACCTCGAGGAGGGTGTGGAGAAGTACAATGGCACCCAGGACACCAGCCAGGACCCAGCAGGCCAACATCTTGTATAATTTCTTCTGAGAGAACTACCACGCTGCAGTTAACTGAGTTCAACGATCCTCTATCGGATTGACGACAGTCAGAGTTTGGAAAGTCGACAGCCGCAGGGTGGTTTGCACGGGGTTATCGATTCGTGCTTGACGCTCGCGTTTCCTCGTTTGCCTTTCGTCAATAAAGAGCGTCGCGACGCCGGCATCATTCTTCGATGACACCATGTACAATCTAAGGCGTGATGAGCCTCGTTCTCAATCAGGATCTATGAGAATATAGGCGCCACGAAGTCATTTGCTTGAAACTTTTTTTCGCAAACTTTTGTTTGTTCCTGTATAAGATGTCAGAATCTCTTGAAATCTGTTCCTTCTAAGGACAGATCTGTTAAGTGACCCTGTAAAAAATTGGATAATAAAACTTTTGACGTTTACACGTAAAACTTTTATTTATGTATTAAAAGCTATGAGGTAAACTTTTAAAAAAATACGACAAACATACAGTAAAAAAAATGGAATTAGAATTCTTTGGAGATTATCAGTGAAAGTTACACACTGAATGGAGACGATCGAATTATAGCCACATCGCAAGAATACAAACTGGCAGTTGTCACGTGAAATAAAAAAATAAAAAAAAATATATAAACTCGACATTGTCAAATAAAATTAAATCCGTCCTGAAAAAAATGTTACGTGACAACAGTTTTTCCGCAAACGATAAAAAGACGAAATAAAATATAAGCTAAATAAATCGATTTATCGAAAATTTTATAAATTTTAATCACAAAACATTAATAACTGTCTTACCTTACTAGAATCTAATGAAATCCCACTATTCGTCGTTCTATCCCTTAAATGTAAGGGATGCTGCACAAATCAATGAAATCTTTGTATATCACGGTCAGAAATAAAATAACCAAATTTAGTTTCTCCTGGTAAAAAAAAAACCGTGCAGCAACAACGTTCGACCACTGTCAATCGCTGACAGTGACTGCCAGATGAATGGCAAGCCTCCTGACAGGCTATTCTCCACTAGGAGATATCTTGCCAGGTAACTGACATTACGCGCACTGATCGAGACCGTCAACTCTCGTAGAGTCAATGTTGCGCACCCTTCACGAAGCGACGGCGCTGACAGTCTGCGCCGATCTGACTGCCAAGGATTTTCCGGGTGGGGACAAAGCAAATCCCAGACGCGAAGAAGAACGATAGATATAGGTACGAAATTGAAAATACAAATTTACCAAGTAATACGACTTTTCCTTTAGTAAAGAATAACCGTTAATACACAAGACAGTAGAGCTAAATGGGTTTATATACCTTGAGGAAGTCTTTGATACTTTAATTTCAATCACAGCAAGATAAAAGCAAATGAGATAGATCGATTGCGTTTCTGGATTAAAATTAGGCTTATCAATCATTATGTCTGTGATAGTACATGAAGTGATAGAGACTTTGAAATAGTGCGCAAAAATTCTTGATCGTATCGTATAATAAATTAATGATGCACTTATCGTCGGAAGATTATTCTGACATGTTCTAATTCTTAAGTCATTTATTCACTCGCGACGTATTTATCTAAATCTAAACAATCAGGCTGCTGGGAATTTCTAAAGATTCCAGCGATTTCCCGTAACAAATTTAAGCCTTGTAGATACATATTCCGTGATTGCGTATTTTTTTGATAGCATGTATTTGTGTAACGTACGTATATCTACGTAACAATCAATCAATTTCGAGCCAATCAAGTGACTCCAGTCGAATTAACATTTCTTATAGGCATGAACCAACATTATAAATACAATAGACTTCTGGTTTCACGTGTGTGTGATAAGGTAAAAAAAAAGTGGTAAATTTTTGTTATTAAATAAAAAAAATATATAAAATTCGAGAAACTTTTATACTAATATTCACATTCAATGCACAAGGTACATGTCGCGTAGGTATTGAAACATCTAATAAAAATAAACAGAAAGTTTTTAATTTATAACCTAAAAATAAAAACATACAATGTATATAATCTATAAAATACTGTATAATTTTTCATAGCGAGTTTACATGTTCCAATCTGTTTCTATCGTGACAGGGATGATAAGAATGTCAATGTCATAATGCTTAAACCACAATTAACTGAAGTACAATACGTTAAGATTGTATTGTATTTAAGATTGTACAATTGTCTATAACAATTCTGCATGTTTCTGTTCATCATACCAGTTAATTGAGCTTAGGCGCCGATAAGGATATTACAACAGAATTTCTTATTGCCTAATCTATAAATTACTAACCACTTAAACGGGAATCGCGCATCCCAGATGTTTAGTTATTTGCCATTAGTTTGCACGTTTGGAAGATCTATAACGCCAACTGATATTTGGTTGAAAAATTATTTGTTGTTTGAGCATAGATAGTTTGGGACAATACGAACGCCAGGTGAATGTGAGGTTAAGTGGTTAATCAATCCAAAGCTGAATTTTCTACAGAAAATGAACGATAAGAATAAAGGTATAACGCAATAAACGATAAGGTATTGGTCAAATATACAATAATGTAAAAATTTATTTTTCCATTAGAGTGCTAATCTCCAACTGGTACTGCCAAGATGAAATTCTTTCAACGTTATAGTTCTCACTTACCGATGCTTACGCATTCTTTTAGAACGAATGCATTAAGCAAACGTATATGTAATTTTCCACACGTGTATTTGTGACCTTTACTCAATATTCTCCAGAAAAACTACAAAACTATACATGGCGAATTGATCGGCATTGCGAAAGAGTCTACTTCGTACGTAATTGATAAGTCGAAGACACAAGACTCTCGTTAGGGGCAATTTGAACGCCAGACATGTACCGTACTACTCACACATGTCATTCCGAAGAAATCAGACATGTGTGGCTAAACACCGCGCCCGTGTTTCATCAGGAAGCGACTTTCCTGCTGATGTTTTATGGAAAACGCGAACCGTACTGTGGAATCGTAACCCTGTGAAATGATCGAAAAAAAAATAAGAGAGGGGAGAGAAAAAGAAATAAAGTAGAGAATAAATATAGTACGATTGACTTGGGAATTTATTTTTTTTCGGTTTTTCGAAAATTATATGTAATTGATCATCAATGGTGATATTATCACGTACGCGATTTCAAGGCAAGTAGTTGGATTAAATATGTAATTAGTGGAATGAAGTCAAGACTTTTTCAGGTGAGTAAGTATCCGTTACCGTAAATCCGGCACGGATTCCCCGCATCTTATTAAAAAAAAAACCACAATCACTTTTATCGGGTCTTAAAGACTGCAGATTTGTCGAAATGCAAATTTCGTAATCAGGTCTTTTTTATTTTCTTACTTCGTACAAAATATATTTTAAATTATAATACGAGTATTCGAAACTTTTGTGGAAATTTTCAATCATACACGGACAGAATTTTTCGTTAATTTTTTCTATGAAATTCACAATAAAATTTACTGTAGAAACAAATAACAGTGGGACATCGTTACCATTTCATTACTTATTGTTTACAACATACGATATTTTGAGGGGCTAAAAATCAATTTTACAGTGCACACGGTAAATATTTTTACTTGCAATTTCTAGTGCGTTTCACAATGTCAATGTTTTTTTGTGGTTGACTTCAAAGGTATGAAAAATACAGTGAACTTCATGGTAAAATTGAATGTAGCGCATGAGATAATTCGGCTATTTTAGATGATTTTTTAAATTATACAAGGTAAAAGCCGTACTTTTACCCTACATATTTTCAAGTTTGAAAAATTTTACAATATACTTCAGTAAAAGCAGACATATCATGCTTACTTTTTAGAATGTTTTCATGAATTGTTCTTAAATATATAGATAATATGTTATGAAATGCCATGATGTCCCGTGATTACCGTGAATTTCAATGTAATTTTTAATGAAACATTTTCTCCGTGTACCCCTGCAATTCTCAGTGATAGTGTTTTGTAAGTAGTAACTATTATAACTTTGAGTAATTAAATTGGAACTTTGCTTATCCTTAATGAATAATATCACATTTAACACGTGATACATAATCACACATTCCTTACAAACCTACCTTGTGCCTTTATTCGTACCCCTTGAAGAATTCTATAACAAACGGTTTGTCATCCGGTCCATAAGGTGTCAATGGAAGATCATAAGGAATAGGAAATACTGGCAAATTATCAACAGCATCTTTGATTGGAAACGTCTTGCCTCCCGTCTTATGATAAGAGAATAAGATTAAAGTAGCAGAGGAAACGTCATCAGTGTTTATCAGACTGATAAAATTGATAATGAAATTGATACTTACAATAATTGATGGTACAAATGCCACTCCAATTTCATAGTTCATTAAGTAATGTGAATACCGATGCTGCCCCCAAGCGGCTTTACTGAGATTTGCACTTGTTAATAAGAACCACGAAATCTCTTTCATATCTGGTGACATTCTAGTGTAGCATTTAATGTGCGGCATTGCTTTATCGCGTGCTGTACTCTGGGCTTTCCATTTGCTGTAAGAAAAAAGAATTAATATTTTTACAATGCCAATAACTATTAGTTTAAAAATAAAAGATACTGACTGCATATGATTCAAGATCCAACGCTGCTTATTATGAGATTCTATACTGTATAAAAAACAGCAGGAGCCTTCTCGCATGTCATAGCTGTTCTTGAAATTTTCAATAGTCGGATAGATAAAATGGAATTCCGGTTGGTCAGTGAGACCTTGGCGTCCCTTCTCGCTAGACATACAGGTAACAATTTCCTTTTGAAGCCAACTGGAATACTGAGGTCCTAAATTACCAATACTGGAGGATATTGCAACAATGGGCCAGTAAGGAGAATCCCGAGGCATGTTTACATGTTGAGAGAGGACTGCGGTTAACTTTTTATGTCCCCAGGAGTTAACTTCGCGCTCTTTGTGACTTCCTGGTACTGAAGCAACCAGGAAGACATTGACCGACGAGAAATCTGCTCGTCTGATAAGACTTATCCAATCGGTTAGTTCGGGAATTTTATATTTGATCAGATATTGTTGTATATCCCACTTGAATTTTGTTGGTGATTCGCCATCATTAGGATTTGCGTCTTCTGGTAATGGAGGTAGATGCGGCGACATCCAAAGCCTATTGAAAATAAATACTAAGTTATTTCTAGTGCTGAATCCGAATACAGTAAGGATTGAATCTAGTGTATTCGAAAATACTGATTTATATGACATTTTTATTGCAAGTAATAGCGTACCCTTGAGTGCGGTTCTCCCAATCATCCGCATATAGATTAGCTGTACCCACAACTATCCTAATACCGCCATCTTTGTATTTCAGAATCATCAATTTTGAATGATGACAACCGTAAGCAGTAGGCATTTCTATGCGATGCAATTCAATATTAGGTGGAAGTGGTTCCGTATCGGCTCTGTCGCCATAGAGAATAAGCATGTCGGCCTTTTGAGCAGCCAGAAGATACTGGAGACATAACCAACCAACGTCGACGACAAATGAGAGTTGTAAGGAGGACTGTATCTCGCCTAAGCTGATGTCAAGTATTTCCGGAAAGGAAATCGAATTGGTCTGATCATAAGTCGCATGGCATTTTTCAACTCTTGTTAAGAAGAAATGATACGGTGCAGCAAGAGCAAACTTCATGCCAAATTCTCCAACCTTAGCTACAGATATTTTGTGACCGTGAGCTTTCATCATGGAAATTGTTTTTTCTCTCAGTGCCAGTCTGGCATCCTGAGAGTCGCGAGAAATCATTTGCTCCACTAATGATGTTTCACCAGAAACATTTTGATTAGCTCTGTTTTTACTTTTTTTCATCTTACTGTTCCCAGAAATATGATCTTCTTCATTTGCATTTGATCTCTTTGATCCTGATGAAGTGTTTGGTACATTGTTATCATTACTTGTGCTGGATTGTGTTCTTAATCTTGGTTTGGGAGTAAGTTTTGATAATTTGGCCTGCAGTGTAGCAAAGGATATTCCATCTCTCTCTCGCTTCTCTTTTAGTACAGTTTGAACAATACGAAGTTGCTGAAGCAACTCACAAGGGTCAGGGCTTTCAAAGCCAATGTTGTCAGGGACCACAACATTGTCATCCAGTTGATTAATAACGAGGCACTCGACTGCAAAGAAATCATGAAATAACCAATTCTAACAGTAGATTGTTTACACTGATAATAAATCAAAATATATTTTACAATCAGGGTGTGACAGCTCGCGAAAATGGATTGGATTTTTCCTATAACACTTGTACTTGAATGGACATTGCTTATCTGTAAAATTCAATATACGTTATTTATCAATCAAAATATAACCTTAAAAAATCATAGGCTTACCTGCAGGCGTACTGTCTTTTTCAACGGATCTGTCGTTCATTTCGACGCCAAAGCGTAAGTATCCTTGATATTTTAGAACAATTTGTACCGTAATTTCTAACTTATGACAGTGTGTTAGACAAATAATGATGTACTGTAAATATAAATATTAGAGGTTTGACATGCAGAAAAAGTTCAGAAAGTATTAAATTTTATCAGAACAGAAACATAACATCACATGGTACAACAGAATAAGTATTCTTCTTCTTTTGTTCAACGAGCGTTGTATAATTGCCACTAGATGTCACCGTAAGAGTATTGAACAAGGATTGAGGCTGGATTCCACTTTACCAAGTATATAAATAAATTTATTACTTAGTTTTTAAAGGAATAATTTCAAATTAAGCGTAGTTTTCCCAGATATCATTCAGATATTAATTTAGTTCATAGTAAGTACTAAGATACCCTCATCTTTGAAAATAATTCAAGAATTCCAAAATCCTAATATGATGCCCTCTTCATAAACGGGAATTCAACCTTCGAAGGAAATTACAATTGGAAGCAGGCATCATAAAACAATATTATTGGCCACTTGAAACATCGCAATATTTCTAGATAGCGCCAGGATCTCGACGATAACAACCAGATTAATGGTCCCGAAAGTTTCGATTGTTCTCGCCATTTATCGCGCAGCCATCTTGTCAGTAGGCTAACAAAATTCTATTTGATTCGTAACATATGCATAATAAAGCATACAAATAAAAATTAAAAAGAGCAAATGAATAACAAAAACACGAATACCAAGTAACGAGTCTATTATCCGTTAACGTTCTACGTGAAAGTCAGACGGTTTTCACTTTCAAATTTATATAATTGATCCCATTTTAGACAATGGGCGAACGACGCAACAAAGAGAATTTCGAATGTTTCGTTAACGAAACTTCATAAATATCTATAGAACCCTTTTTGAGACAAAACAGTAATACATCTCAATCTACATACAAGTTACCAGAACAGAGCAATAATTCCAAAAGGACAAAATGGTATGTATAAATTTGAAATGGTAAAGCGAGTGGTATAAGGATCTAAAGGTTTAACCATACTGCTGTTTAAAAAACAAATAAATAAATATGAAATTCATTATTGAATTTAGGAGATGAATTGATGTGAAGCAGTTCGATAGCAGAAAGCCACGAGGGGGAGTATTTTCAATTAGTCTCCGAATCACCGTGAAGTCTAGGGCAAGAGAGGGAGCCAAGCGTTCTTCTGGTAATCATCCCTTAAAGGTAATTATCCCAGAAAATAACCCAATTTACCATTAACCCGATTTCTATCCCACAGGAAACTAAATAAAGATATCATGAAAAATCGATGACTTCATATCACTGTCACTGCTGTACCTATACGTTCGCCTATACTTTTCACATGGATTAAGGAAGATGGAGTCAATTTCGTGAAGACGCGTTTTCTCGATAGATCGATAAACCGATAGACTGATAGACTGTGCTCTATATGAAGTAAGTACGTACTGAAATAAGTGCAAGACTATATATGCACATAGCGAATGGAGATTGCTTTTTGGCGGATCTGACATCATAAGCGATTTTGGTTAGAATGGGGAATACTCTGAGCGTAATGACACCGGAACGATATCCGGGAATAACCATGAAGAGCTTGTAGCTTGTATGAATCCTACACCGAAGAGGCAAGACTCGATTTCGCGAGTATTGTAAATGTAACGAATCCCTTCTCTTCTTCTACTGCACCTGTCGCATCGGCCATTTTCTCGTTTACGTATTTTTCTTTTTCTTTTTTGTTTATTTCACTGTGGAACATGTACATTCTTTCGGTCAAACAGAAAAACGTTTTTAGCGAAGCAAACTAATTTCCGTTCACTAAAAACCCATCAGAGATTTATTTTGTCCATTTTAATTTGTCTGGCGGTGAATGATATTAACTACTATCAACTGTATAGACAAACAAGGGTCGTGTACATTTGTAAATAATTAAAATGTAGTTTTGAATATAAAAATATAGTGGGAAAATTGTCAGACGCAAAGAAAAACCTTCCAGGGTTTTAAGGCTAGTTTATAGAAGAATTGACCGGGCAATCTCATCCTTTTCACCCCCTATAATTTTCTTATGATTCACTGCCCCCGAGGAAGGAGGAAGAAGCGGAAGTCGACGTAAAAAGAAAAAAGAAACGGCAGAACTTCGTATAAGAAAGAAAAAAAATAAAATAAAGAAATATAAAAAGAAGGAGAAGAGAGGAAAAAGGAAAAGCACCCTGACGATTCCGCGGCTTCCCTCCAGCGCAAGGGTAGTAAAGGATGGACGCATCGTAGGAAGGTTAGAATGAGATGAGGGTGGTAGGAGAGCGACGTCGTGCGTCGCGACGCCCGTTCGCTCAGTCACCGCCCAGGCCGCGTCGTGAGCTATACCCCGCATACAGTTTTCCACCCTTATGCACAACAACCCCGATAATACCCGTGTATCGCGAATAGTCGTGCCAATTTCTAAGGGGTGAAAAGAATGATTAAAAACGGGGCTGTTCAGTTAATAAGATACCTAGTGGCCTAAAGAGCAACAATAATCAAAATAACACCCCCTATAAATATTACGTACTTTAATATTATCACCGGCAAATTGCCCTTAAACGGACTTGGATAGCGCACAGTAATTTAATTAATATATCAATACGAATTAATTCACGTGTTATGTGTTTGTGATCGGAATCCTGTAGAAAGAGGACCAAGGATTCTCCAAGGGTTACACGGAGCTCTCGCCAAGGATAACTCTAGTGACCATCAGTGAACACATCACGGGCGTTGATCGTCCGCACCCTCGACTCAAGACATCCCTTGTAATCCTTTCCTCTGGAGGCGCTCAGAAGACAGTCAAGATCCATCGCTGCCAGGAGATGTCGAAAAGTCAAGGTTAGAATTACAGAACATTCTTTTATTCCTACAATTCCTTTCTCTTTCATTCACAGTTATCAGAAAGAAGCAAAACCATTTTTTTGCTATATTCCAGATGCTCTTTCCTCATTGTTCTCTATTATTTTTCTGATTCTCTTTCCTTTTTCAGAATAGAAATACGCTTGTCATAAACTAACCGCAAGAAAGGTATTACGATAAACGCCTGTAAACCAGAGATGAAAGCTTTTTAGTCGCCATATCAATTTACTACTCCATTGACAACAATAATGAACAATCCACAGCTACGTGTTACCTGGTGGTAATCGATACTAATTTTACAATCTTTTCCTTTTGTTCCAATTTTTCAATTTTTGTCACTACTTTATTCATCCGTCGCACGATCATAATTCTCTTGACATAATTGCTTTTTATCGCCTAGTCACGTCCTACAAATTGATAACAATAAACGATCTATTATTGTTTCCACTTTGTAATCACTGTCATCACCACTCTCTCAGAATTTCTCGTAACTCTTTTTGCTTTTATAATTCGGTCATAAAATTTGTGACAATGGTCGACGTGCGATTGGAATATCCAACGTAAAATCCGTGTTATCAGTAAAGCGCAATCACAGATCACTGATAGCGGGACTTTATTTATCTCCGCGTTTCACGCTTCAATATTATACAGTACAGAGACCTATCAATTTTTACAGATCATAAATATCGTCTAGTATGTATAAGTATAATAACGTGCATTGCTCCAATAAAAGCGAAATATATTATAAGATACGGATGAAATCAATTCTACCTTGATTTTGACTCTGCTAGGGATTTTATGACGTTAGGGACCCTGTATTAAAGTTCACTAGATTTTCTTAAATGCACCATAATATAATAATGTCAAGACAATTGCATGCGGTGTTACAATATAATTGTGGGATTCCTGCAGACAGGGGTGTTTAATAAAGACAAGGCGCCAGTGTGGAAAAAAAAAACAAATAGAAAAAGAATGAACTAGCCAGACAGATCACCAGGAGTCTATGATATAAAGACGAGCGTTCTTAGACTGTCTTATGAGTGGAATGCACAGGAATTTCAGTATGGGATTAAAGCTGTGAGTAGGTACGTGATTACGTCATGTGTATGTATATATGTATATATTGTATATGGAAGCTGCGTAAAAGTAGAATATACATCCACGTACATGGTAGTACCAAAGACGATGGAACAAATTTATTTTCACCAAATACTCTAGGTATAACGGCCTGACAAGATGATAGTAGATATACCTACTCTCCACGGGAGTAGAGCCAAAGTCAAACAATTACTCTTACATGAAAAAAATAAAAGGGAGATGAAATACTTGTGCAAAAGTCTGCGTGACTTCACGAAACCGGAGAGAAATAAACTGGACTTCCTGGAACGTCTGGAAAATATTGTTAGGTCTCTGTTAGAAAAAACTGGTATGTCTTTATGAGCGCACAGCGCCACTTTCATCAATCATACGTCATCTCTTTCTTTCTTTCATCTTATTATTTTTTCTCTCTGTCTGTTATACGTATTGAGGTTTGTAAACTTATTCAATCATCAGATCTTCGAGGTTGGTATAGAGCGAAATTGAATTAACTCTTCGTGCAAACAGTGGGTCTAATGGACCCGGTTTATTTGATTTAGGCGTGAATATCCCGAAGATCCACATCATTTGTTGGGTCCGTATCTCACCTTAAAAAATCTTCGAAAATTATTTTGGAAAATTCTCAAAAATTAAAAGTGCAACGGATATTGGTACATATCTAATTTATTTGAAATTTGGTGCATATAGTATATACATATATATAACAATCCTCCTTTCGATCACATATGTGAGCATATGGAAAACATTCGAATGTGAAAGTCGAATGAGAATATAGCAATAACGAGCACGCTACATACTATTTAACGTATGGGGAAATGTCAGTAGCTCCTAAGAGAATCGCGTAACAATAAATTTTCATCCACTCTTTAGTCAGTCACATTATTTATCTATATTTTCACCGGTTAATTAACTTGCAAGCACGATGGCGTGAAAGCGCCATTCAATTAGAGGGCGTAAACTATTACCTTCTGTACGCATATATGTCAAACACAGAGTCCCTGGTGACTCGTTTTGAAAATAAAAGTGAAAGAAAAAGAATAGTCAAATAAGCTGTTGTGCCTGCACCTTATTTTGGAATATCTTTGTCAGTGGCATTGCCAATTGACATAAGTATGTATAGTATAGTCTGTCTAGGAGTTCAATGTGTTTTTTTGACAGGTCGAAAACTATGAAATTTTTAATAAGCCACAGATGGCTTCGCATAAAATTTTCACTAGAAAGTATGTAGGTGCGTCATTTTAAATTGAAATATATTATGCTTTTCACCTTCGCCACATATTTTACTCATTCTATGGTAAACCACGTGCGGTTTCGTTTGACCCGTCAAAAAAAAACAAATTTAACTTATGGACCGACTATACGTCCGTAACACGTTAAGCAGCATTATCTTAGAATTCTCTGTGTACTGATTATGAGTCAAATACTCTATTGTGCATTTTATCTAGACCCATTTTTCTTGGACTCTGTGTAAGCAATAGAGAAAAAATAAAAAAGCTAGGGTGTGTCTGCTGCTTTAAATTTTACCCTACAATTGTTACTAACGTTTTTTTAAATATAATAATGATTTATTAGATTTTATGGCAACAGAACTCACTAATTAGACTGAAAATCTTAGACCCAATTTTTGTCTGTATAAATTATTTTTTTTTTAGAATTCTTTCAGACTTACACTCAATTCGTGGATATAAGTAGATACTACATGTAGGCAAAATTGTACCTAGATGACAATGATTTTAACTAATTACTGACATTAATAAATATTAGGGTTTGTCTTTTTCTGTGCTATTGTCTAGGTACATTCAACGCCGTGTTATCGCTGTAGTTAAATAATAGCGTCTTATCACGCGACTGTCTATTTTCTCTTATACCCATTATATTATCAACTCCTGCGTTCCTAACGGACAAGAGAGAAACTTTCTCTATGAATATTTCTGAAAGATCTATTTATCCTTAGTGACTTTTTTTTTATCTCCATCTCGTTATTCTATACCGAAAGAATTCATCGCCTGGTAGAAAGTTATTACGGAGTCTATCCGTGCGCTGCTCGCAGTATTATGCAGAGATATACGAAGCTCATTCATATGCATTTTCGTATATAATATTAGACAGGACCATATGAGCATGACATTGCGTGATGGTCCAAAAATCAGTGCATGTGAAAAATTTCATATCTATCAAAAAATCCTTCAACCCGATGAAAATTTTTAAAATAATGTTCTCCATTCCTTATCTATTAGTGAAAAGGTAATGTATGTTGTCATATGTAATCATATAAAACAATATAAAATTGCATACAATCAGATGAAAAAAATGTTCCCCATCCGATTAGATGTAAAATTTTACAATGTTATACTTTGGAAATGTTACATTCTATACGAATTATGTTTCTTGGCATAATTGTAATGAATTAATTTATGGATAAAATTATGAATTGAGAATATCATTTATATATATTTTTTATATTTTCATAGTGAATTCTTGTAAAATTTTACTTCCGATCAGATATGATCATACGGAAATTAATTTTTCATTTGATTATATATAATAATTTTTTACCGAGTAAAAACGGAAGTCCATAAGTATTATTAATGAAATATCTTCACTTTGCATGTACACTGATAGAGGGTACATGGATGTATAAGCATCTTAGCTTTCAGCCACGTGCAATCCTGTATACAGTGTCGCAATGTAAATTCACGTAAGATTATTATAGCTGCTTGCCAATCACTGTATACGTATTACAAGTAGGTAGACAAGCATAAAGCTTACTTGAGGTTGCCTACGCTTCTGTTTACGTAAATATGACGTTACGTTTGCCGAGTCAAGAGACTCGTCTGGAGCTCGATTAAAGGCAGTACCGTTTCTCTCTGATGTTGAATCGGTTTCTCGGATTCCTCTTTGAAGGCGAAGCTATGCGGTTTTTGTAATTTCGTGCCTGGCCGAGGCGTTTCGGTAATTCTCGTGCAAAGTCGGAAATCGCCGAAGCATAAAACGTGGAAAGTTCGTGACACGGGAAATTGATCATATATAAATTGGCGTCGTAGAATGAGAAATTAAAGCGTCATCTTTTAATTAAAAGGGACGGCTTATTAATAAAGATTATTACCTAGAAATTCTAGATTAATATTAATTCCTAAAGTTACGGGATGCTTTATTTAATTCTTTCTTTCATCTTTTTTGGACATAATGATTTTTCATTGTAACGCTCGTGCGTTACTTTTTTTATCGTCGCGTGCTTCAAAACTTGCTGGTCATTCTCGTTACCAATATTTTTAGACATTTTTGCGAACGAGCTTCAGTGATATGGCAAATTTGAGAAAATCTTTTCACCCATGACCACGTGACTTGTAGAATTTTATCGAGATTTTATATAAACCAAGTAAAAAGATTTAGTACGAGTATCTAACGATCTACAATGGATAAAACCGTTTGATACGTTTCAACAAAAATCATGTCGAAGTTGGAAATCAGGAAGAGAACCGGATGCTGAAAAAGATGATAAAACTGCTTGAACCTTGTGGGGACATTCTGCAAAGTATCCTCCGTGAGGTCTTTCGACTTTCAGGAAATTCTAGAATACCCTAGGATCTATATATGTGTATACCTATATAGATACCTACTAAACTTTTGTGTGGATACGAAAGAAAAAGGAAAGAAAAAGAGGACATGGAAAAAAGTGAGAGAAAGTAAAAAAAGCACAAGTGTCTTAGATTCTACGAAGAAGAGTGCCCGCGGTGGTGAAAACTGAGAAAAGTCGTAAGAGACGAAAAAAGAGAAAAACGATAATGAAATAGAAGGAAGATGCTCCGAAGGAATCAGCAGCAGATCGGACATTGAGGAAGAATGGAAGAGCCGTTGAGTTAGAGTCGGGCATTTTTCAA